ATAGGTTTTTATAAGCAAAAAAAATTTTCAGAAATTAAAATGTTTAAAAATATAATGATTAAAATCATTAAATTTGCAAAAATTAAAGGGTTTTTATAAGCAAAAATTTTGAGTGAAATAAACATTAAATTTTAAGAAAATAAAATATATAAAAATTGATCATTAAAATCTATAAATTAAAGGGGCTTAATCAATAGTTTCGGGGGAAATATATATTAAATTTTAAGAAAATAAAATATATATCAAAAAACAAGACAAAAATCATTAAATTTTCAACAATTTAAAGATTTTTATACTTAATACTTTTGAGGGAAATATATTAAAATTAAAACCAAATAAAATCTATAAAAATGCAAGACTAAAATAATTTAATTTTCAGAAGCCAAAAACCCCGTCAAGTGTTCACTGAGAAAGAGAGATGTAGTTCCCTAGTTCCGGGGCAGCAAAAAAAGTGAATTGCATTTGTCTAATCAAAATTTATTGACCCTCAGCCTCGAGATGACCCGACAACGATGAGAGGAGAGGAGGAAGGGATCTCTAGTACGATCCCCGAGGGCCAGTGACGGGCACTCCATGGGTCTTATTGTGATTGTCATCCAAAAAAGACCTTTTCCATTCAACTTTTTAGTACTTCCTCGAGCGCAGAGAGAGAGGCAAGCAAGCAGACAATGGCTCGATGGCTCGATGGCTCGATGGCAATGTGTCATGCTTGTTGATTTGTAAGGATGTAAAGAGGATGCAGTGCAGCCGCCGCTTGAATTGTATTGACCGGAAAATCATAAAGCTCTTTGTTGTAAAACCCAATAAAGGAGGAAGTCGAAAGTCAAAGTCGAAGAAGGCATGGCCAAAAGACTCGTCATGGATCTGAACCGGAAATGTTGCCCAATGCATTTAATCTCTGTCTCTTGCTGCTCTTCGATTATAATCCTTCTCCTTTTTTTTATTTTTGTTGTATTATTTTCCCAATTTTTCTAGTTTTGAAAAGGCGCCGCTTCCGCCGCAAAAGTTACTCTCTTCTTGGCGGCATCATTATCATGGAAAATTGTTTATAAGTTGACAGGCAGTAAACAGGATTTGACTGCGGGCATCGGAAATGGTAATGCTAAGAAGCTCCAAGTTCCGAATTTAAATCCAACTATGACAGGAAGTCAACTTTTTTTCCCCCTCAGTTATATCTATGTGTGTGTGTGGTCGGTCTGTTTTCCTATTTTCTTTAATTTTTTCACCCTTTTTTCTTTGAAAATCTAGAGCAAGTGGAAAATCGAATATGGAAATCAAAGGGAGGTTAAAGTTTTGGTTGCATCCTCAATATTTAAGTTTTATAAATTATAAATTGGGCTTAAACCTATCTACTTTTTTTAAGTAAACCCTCTAAATCGTTCTTCTTATGCTATACTTGTTATATATATGAAAACATCTCCGATATGTATATCTATATCCCCCAATAATTTCCAGCTGGCTTGGCTCACTTGTTGGTCTCCAGGTTTCTGCGTGCAACCATGGCAAATGACCCATAAATGACACGCACACAAAACGATTTCCCGCCGCCTGAGTTGACATGACCTGACCTGAATGAGCAATGTCCGACCCGGGCACTATCTATCCATATATATCTCTGGGTATCGGGAATATCCACATTCAGAGTTCACCCATCCACCCATTCCTCTACACGCACTCGCCACTCATATGCACATCCATATTGGCCATATCACGTGTGCTGGTGGTCTCTCCTTATGTTTGGTGCATATGTGTACGTACACAGAGAAAAAAATATTTATATATGGAAATTACCTTTGAAAGAAATCAAGTTCAAAGTATGGATATACAAGTGGAAAATGATTTTATTACTGATTGAAATCATAAAATACTTCAAGATGACTGGAAATATTTAAATCCATATATTTTAGTTATATTTTTTTTTGTAGAAATGAAAATCTAAAAACACCATAACTAAGCCAAAAAGCCATTAAATTTAATTTGGAAAGCTTTTCTGTGCTAGTTTTTTTTAGGATATTAAATCTGCATACTACATTTTAAATTTTAAGAAATAAAAATTTTTGTCAATTTTTTTTGACAATTTTAATGATCAAATTTGGAAATAAAAAGTTAAAAAATTTTTTTTCTCCCAAAACGGTCTAGATCGATTCAGTTTTTTATACTGGTCAAGAATATATATGATTAATAGGGTCGGAAATGACTCCTTCAATGCTTTTTAATTTTTTTTGTAATATTACTCAAAAGTTTACCCCCAGGTTTTTCTCTCGGTGTCACCACACCAAGCCGAGCTTATCCATTTATGAGTGCACATTAACCATTATGATTTATCCACATATATGTTACATATGTGAGTGTGTGTGTGTGCAGGGGGGTTTTTTGGGTGGTGGACAAGGACACGGACATGCGACATGGACGAGGACGAGGACGAGCGTCGTCCGGTAAGTGCCGCTGTGCATTTAAGTGGAAACTATAGATAATATTTTTATAGTTTCGCTGCCACCGATTGAGTGAGTGTATAAACCATAGATGGATATATATATGAATATAGCCCTAGCCCTGGCCCCTTTGTCTTGGTCAGTGTCTGCTTTGTATATTAAAATGTTGCCCGCATTGAAATTTATTTTCGCCGATTCTCTGATTTATGACTAAGCGTTTTCCCCACGTTTTTTTTTTTTTTTTTTGTTAGTGGCTGGTCAGCAAATGATGCGTCAGCGTTTAATTTCATTTTCGACATGTGCAGGACATTAAGGCGAGCTAGCCAGCGAGCGAAGCAAGCAAAGAAACCGCCTAATTGACAGATACAATTTGGTTTTATCCTGAAAATGGCCTTTGTATCGGTGCTTAAAGGGTTTTTGGGGGGGAAACTACGTGGCAACTACGTGACTTTGGCCTAAACCAAAGGATAAATCTGTTAAAGGAGTTAATCTAGGGTTTTATTTTATCACAATTAAATAGGAATATTTTTAGATGTTAAAAGAAAATGAAGAAAGCTTTTGTTCGTGGGTCCTAAAAGTGTGCTATACATTTCTTTAAAAATTTCTAAAATATTCCATAGCATACTTAACAAGATTTCTTAATAAACACAAGCGTGGAGGGAGGTGCCCTAGCTACCGCTTTGGCTGCCTCTCCTCATTAGCCTCGAGTACATCAATCATCGGCTTGTTTTAATTTAAAAAAAAAAAGAGAAAACAGAAAAGAAAAGAAATCACTGTTCACGCTGTTCGCTTCCCTGTGGCGTGGCATGGACACTTAATTAAATCCTCGGCCACATGCCACACCCAGCTCGACGGCACTTCATCCCCTTCTTTTTGCTGGAATCTCGTCGTTCGACCAACCACGTCCGGAATCCCGCCCACGGAAAATGGGTAGAGCACAGCCATCATCATCATCAGAGTGGCGCCGTCTCTTTCCTGCTCCTTTGGGGGAAATTTTTCCCACTCAAAGGGAAATTTCCCCCGTTGCTCAAGGAGCCCGCCATTTTGAGAGACCACCATTACCTACTGCTCACTCCCCCCTCCAAGAATTTTCCAAAGGGCTTAAGAAAAGAAGAGAGTTCCTCCCATGCAAAAGATTGATCTATTTTAATAAGCGACTACGACGACGACGACGGGAAGGCTCAGAAAATTTTGATTACAAAAAATGCAAATTGCTAAAGCTGTAAAATTTTAAAAGAATTTTTAATTTATCGCCACTAAATCCATGGGCTTAAGGCGGCGCCGGCCTTAAGTAAGGTTATATGGCAGGCTCGGGAGCCACCCTCGTAGGCGGAAGACAGACAGAATAGACGGCGAAGGGGCAACGATAAACAAATACCTTCCACAAAATCAACTTTGTGATTTGTTTTCGTAATCCTTGGCGATGTGTAGACTTTGTTTTTACACATTGATTCTGAAAAAAAAACTCTACAAACCAGTTTTTTGGTTTTAAAAATTCTGAAAAAGTGGACAAAAGACCCAAAAAATAGGCGAAGGGGAAACGAATAACAAATAACATCCACAAAATCAACTTTGCAATTTGTTTTCGTAATCCTTAGCGATGTGTAGACTTTCTAAACGCGATGATTCTGAAAAAATAACTCTATAAACTGGAAAGAACTCTACAAACCCGTTTTTTGGTTTTAAAAAATCTGAAAAAGTGGACAGAAAACTCATAAAATAGGCGAAGGAAAAACCGAAAACAAATAACATCCACAAAATCAACTTTGTGATTTGTTCTCGTAATCCTTGGAGATGAGTAGACTTTGTTTTTACACGTTGATTCTGAAAAAAACTCTACAAACTGAAAAAATAACTCTACAAACCACGTTCTGTAGATTCTGAAAAAAAAGACTCTTGAAGCAAGCTCTTTGGCATTCAAAAATCACAGAAATTTAATAAAAATTAAAAAAAGAAAACAAGCATTATTTTTTAATTGTTTCATTTGCCTTTTTTTTAAGCATATTTTGTTCTTTATGGGTAGATCATAGAATGAATCGTTGACAGACAAAAAAAATACAGTTTGCTCTTTAAATTAGTTATCGGTTGTAGTTGGAATAAATAATTACATATACTAAAGCTAAAGCTAGGCCGGAGACCCGCTCTCCGTCTCCTTTAATCTTGTTCGTTATCTTTACCTTTATCTCTATAGTGTATGCTTCATCGTCGCTAATAATAATCTTTTTTTTTTTCTCTGCGTGTAAAAATAAACTCTGTAGCTCTGCAAGCAATAAACAAAACCTATTCTACCGACATACAGTGGACAGGGATTTTTTTTAAAAGGCCTGATGGAGTAAAACAACCTTCAAGAAATAGATATTTTAGGGCTAAAACCTAAGCTAAGGGCTAGAAATCAAAGAAACCACAAAAAAATTATACAAAAAAAAGGAAATAAAGGTTAACTCCTTTTTGAGGGACCACTGCACATCGGCAAATATAAAGAAAGAAAAGGCAGGTTTAGAAAAACAAAAAAAAATATAAAGAAGAATATACAAAAATAATAATAATAATAAAATAATAATAAGAATAATAAAATATAAATGTTTAGGATAGGAGGAAGGGAACAAATAAAGGAAAAATAAAGGAAAAATATAAAAAGAAATAAAGAAGAAAAAGAGGACTTACAACAACTACACCTACTCCTTCTCATTATCCTTCTCCTCTTTCTATTTCTCTTTCTCCTTTTAATTCTTAGTTTTTTTCACACTTTTCACTTTTACTTTATTTTCATTCGCTAGGTCTCAAAGTACTTGTAGATCGCCGTCACATAGGACATGACCTGCATCCAGTCGGGTCGCTCGATCTGGCACATGTCGTTGATGTTCTGAAAAATAAATAACAAATTAATAAAGAATAAATCTAGAATTAAAAATAAATCAAAAGTAAAACATGTTTAACAAAAACAATTTTTTTTAAATAATAAAAAAAAATGAATTAAAAATATAATAATAAAAAAATTGAATTAAAAAAATAATAATAAAAAAAAAAAAAAAATAATAATAAAAATAAGAATAAAAAAAAAAAAAAAAAAAATGAATAAAAAAAATAATAATAATAAAATGTATAATAAAAAAAAAAAAAAAAAAAAATTAATTAAAAAACAAATCAAAAACTTAATTTAATATTTAAAATCAACGAGATAAGGTATAGATTATATACACACCAGCGTGGTGCCTATTCCCACAGACTCTGCCGCTGCAAAGGCCAGCGAAAAGTTGCGTCGCTTATTGGCCGGACTTAGTTGATCGTAGGGAATCCGATCGGGTAGATATGAGTGCAGTATCGCGCAAAAGGCCAGCCCATCGTTCCACGACGAGCTAAAGTTCGTGATGTCTATATTGCGATAGCCAACTGTCTTGTTCTGGCACCATTTTAGCAGGGCATTGCGCTTGGAGCCTCCGTTTGTTATGAGCATATTAAGAGGATCCTTGCGTTCACCTAAAAAAAATTAAAGTAAATTAGGAAAATTTAAATAATAATAATAATAATCTAGTTACCACTTATAAAAGACTTTGAGACATTGCCAAAGGGCATCAAGCCACTGCTGCTGTTGCTGCCCGCACTGCTGGGCGTGGCCGGCGTTGAGGGCTGTGATACATTTGGGATCTGGATCTGCATTGGGTTCGGATTTTGACTCTGACTTTGAGGCGTTGTTATCGTCGTCGCCGGCGCCGGCTGCTGCTGCTGCGTTGGCGTCTGTTGTTGCGCCAATGTGGCTTTGGTAGTGCTAGCTGATCCTCCTGTAATATTTGCGCCCGTTCCTCCGCTGCCCACGACGTTCACATGCAGGTTACTGCTCTGCAGTACAGGCAGGCGAAGCTGTAGGGATTTAATTTAATTTAATTTAATTTAATATTATTTCTTATTTTTATAATTTTAAAGGTTTAAACTCACACTTTCATGCCAATCACTGGATGGCGGCAGGATAATGGGCGTATTTCCCAGCTCTGGAGTGCCGCTATTTAGGCTGGACGTGGAGCTGTAGTGGGACTCTGCCTCGTCGGCCTTGCCCTGCTGTTGTAAAAAAACAACAAGGTGAGTCTACGGATACATTTCCCTATTGATCCTACTCACCGGCTTGTTATTCTCTATGCTCTCAATCAGCGTCTTTACGGAGAGCCTGGAGTCCTGTCGACTGAAGCTAAGCTTGCTGCGCCGCGTGGCCAACTCCATTTCACGCTGCACCGTGGACAAAACCGACTGCGGCGTCTCCGACTGCTGCAGTTCTGCTGGAAAGTCACAAGCAACAAAGAAAGAAAGTTCTCTATATATCAAGGAAAATTTATGATAAAAAAAACTCACGCTGCTTGGTGAGCTTATCGAGCTGCTGCTCAAGCAGTCGAATCTTCTCCTTTTGCGTCTTGTTGTCGAGCACCAGCTGCTCGCGGGCGCTGAGCGCCTCAGTCTTGAAGTCATTGGCCACACGCACTGTCATCAGAAGATCGGCCTGGAACTGCTGCCACTCCTCGCCCTCCTTGCGGCGCAGCTGTGTCTCCTGCTCGAGCCGTCGCTCCGATTCGCTTAGCTGCATCTGGACATCGCCCAGATGACGCTGAGTCTCGCTAAGCAGCGACTGCAACTGGGTCTTGTCCTCCTGGTGGCACTTGCACTGCACTTGCAGCTCAGCTACACGCTCCTCCAGGACCTGCCACTCGCCGGCCAGCTTGTCTTTGTCCCGTTGCAGCTGCTCCAGGCGATACTCGAGATTGGAGACGGCGCATTTGGCATTATTTTTGGCCACCTTACACTCCTCGGTCAAACCGGAGAGCTGTTCGCGCAGACGTCTCAGCTCAGCTTGGCTGCGCGAGCACTGATCCTGCAGCTCGGCCACGCGCTCCTCCAAGGCATCCTTCTCCTTTCTGGCCGCATCGAGCACATCACTCAGATCCGTCTTGTCGCCTCTGGCCAAATCGGCATCCAGCTCCTCAATCTTGGACCTGGCATTCTCCAGCAGTGTGCTCAGTCGACTTATCTCAATGGCCCGCTGAGAGATCTCCTCCTTGGCCTGCGAGAATTGAGCCTCACCCTGGCGTCGCTCTGCATTCGCCGCATCCAACTGCGAGTCAAGCAAAGCTATTCGATCCCGCTGCCGCTGTTGCTCCTGCTGGGCGGCCTCTCGCGCCTGTCGTAGCTCCGCCAGTTCAGCGCTTAATTCCTCTTGTTTGAGCAACACAGCTTCCCTTTCCTCCTGCGAGGTTTTAATTAGATCCAACAGCTTTTGTTCACGTTCCGTGGCGCTCACTTCCGAGGCCGCCTGCTTGGTGTCGCGTAGCAGAAGCTCTTGAAGGGTACTGATCTGTGTGCGTGATTCGTTTAGCTTTTCGGTTTGCCGGCAAAGCGACTGGAAGAGCACATCCTTCTCCTCGGCCAGACGTTCGTTCTCCGTTTGTGTGTCCGTGAGCTGAGTTTGTAGATCGGCCAACTCCTGCAGGGTGGCCTGTAGCTCCTCATTGGTGGAATAGTGCGTCTCCTCCATCTGTATGATCTTGTCTTGGAGACAAGCTACAGAGATCTCACTGGACGATGACTGTTTGTCCCAGTCGGGCGTAAGGCAGGGCGTGCCATCCTGCGCATCGTTTGTCTAGAGAGAAAGGATAAAGTTAATCTTGGAGAATATTTAAGCTTTGAAGAGATGGTAGACTTACACTGGGCAGGGCAATCGAGGCGGGTGCCGAACTATGCAAACGCTGCGAATCTTGGATTATCTGGTGCTTCTCGGCATCCGACAGTGGCGAGTTTACAACGTCCCGCAGCCGATTGCGCAGAGATTCGTTCTCGTACCTCAGATTGCCGATCTCCATCTGGGTCTTCTCCTGTTGACTCTGAAAGCACACACAAGAAACATTGGACTGATCAGATTAGCGTTTGGATTTCCCTTTAAGTTTGCTGCTACTCATCTACGACGCAAAACTGTCTCTAGTCTTTTGTAGACTTTAAATTAAAGGACCGAGAGAGTGCATCGCCTATACATCATATTGAATATCAATGGATGGGTTTAGGGGGGGCTAGCCAAGCGCAACGCCCCCGGATACATGGATTAAGTTATTTTGTCAACGGGAATACACTGCTCTTAGTTATAAACAATTTTTTTTTTTTTTTGGTTTTATAAGCACTAAAGATAGAAGGATTATGATATTTTCCTCTTCTCTTATCTAAAAAGGTAATTTTTTATAGCTTACTCTTTCTCTTTAGCTACTAACCCTTGATCGAAAAGTGTATATAAATAATAATAACATAAAACAACAATAGCATCAATCAGCCGTGACAACACATCATGCTATTTGCGGTTAGCTTCTCCCTTTCTACTCTTTAGACTCACCTGCATCTTAACTAGATCGCCCTTCAGCTTGGCCACCTCGCTTTGATATGGCAGCAGCTCCGTGATGCGTGTCTCCAACTGCAGTTGCTCGCTTCCCAATCTTTCCAGCTGCTTGTGCAGCTCCTGCATTTTGTTGTTAGCCTGTTAAACATTTCATATGAATTATATTATATTTAATATTTATATCACAACAGATGACGATTCTCACCTCTAAGAGTTGCTGTTGTTGCTGTTCGTTGTTGATGAGTTGCTGCTGCTGCTGCTGCTGTTGCTGTTGGTAGCTACTGGCTGCCACAGCGGCTACAGCCACAGCTGCTGCTGCTGCCGGAAATGCCTTTGCCGGACTATCCGCACTGGAATTACTATTTCCGGTTGCAGATGCTGAAGCGGCTGCTGCTAGTTGCTGGTAAAAATCTGCTGCAGCGGCGGCAGCGGCGCCACCATCTTGCAAAGCGGCCAATGCGTTGTTGTTGTTGATATTGCTGGTGGCGGTGCTGCTGGTTGTGGCGTTGCTGGCTGCCAGGGAAGTCATCAGAGGGGGTTGTTGCTGCTGTTGCTGCTCTTGCAAGTGATCCTGGGCATTGCTATGCTGCTGCACTGGCAACTGCTTTGGCTGCTTTTGTCCTTTGAGCTTGGACTTTTTTTGGGGCAAAGTGTTGCTCTGCTGTTGCTGCTGCTGTTGAAGCTGCAACTGCTGCTGCTGCTGGCGTCTTTGTTGCTGCTGTTGATTACTCAGCAGCAGCGCCTCCTCATCGCCCACATCCACGCCCCGTTCGTAGCTAGCCGCCTCCTGGTGTGCGTAGAATTTGGTGGAGCTGGCTGGGGGATGTGGCTGCTCGTGGGCGGTGTTCAGGGAAGTGCTAGACTGCGACTTCTGGCGGTTGTTGTTGGAGGAGTGCTGCTGCTGCTGCTGTTGTTGCTGCTGCAACTGCTGTTGTTGCTGTTGCTGCACCTGCTGCTGCTGCTGCTTGTGCGACGAGTTAGAGGAGTTCGAGCTGGAGGTGCCCTGTCCTCTGCGGAACAAGGATTTCAGTTTGATCATGTTGATGGATATTTGGTTATCCTTATTATCCTTGCAAAACGTCAACCATCAAAGAAACTGATTCAACTTTCAACTTTGCCGCTTCGTTGGATTTATCGTTTTATCGGTCTGGTAATTGTCGGTTATCGCGCGTTATCGCTTTTTCGGTTATTAAAAGTTATTCGTACATTTTTGTTATCACAATTTGCTCTGCTTTCTTTTGGTTGGAAATATAAAAATAAAAAAGTGAAATTGCTGTGCGAAACGGAACGGGCGACGACTGACTGAGCGAAGGAGAGTGACAAACGAAGTTGATAAAAAAAAAAAAAAAGTGGCATGCAACAAGAAACCAACTTCAAACAATCGCATTGCATTGTTGTCCCCACAAAAGAGAGAGAGAGAGCGCAAGAAAGAGCCAAATCAAAACAAACACACACAATCACAGCCACAATCACAGTCGCAGCCACTCAATTAATATGCACTCGACAAAACCGACGATCATGAAATCGAAATTGAAATTCTAAAAAGTTATCCGCAGCGCGGACGGAATGCCGGATCGACGGTGATATCTAGATTTGTATGGTGCTCAGCGTCTTTTAGAGTTCCGCTGCAACGTCAACGAATCAACAGCTCACACTTCCACAAACGAGCATTTACACATGCATACCTAACCACAGCAGAGGTCAACCCATTAAGACAGCTTTTAAATTAATTAAAATAGCAAAATATTATTTTAGACAGCTTCAATCAATGAATTGCAATTAAATGGGGTATAAAACCAATTAATCTGACAACACTAGTGTCAGGTGCATTTTATTCTTGACCTCTGCTGTTCACGAATGTGCGTGTGCAAACAGGCGCCGATGAGGCGTTAATAGTGTGTGCATGTGTGTGAAGTAAGCAAGAAGTATGGCAGAAGGAATAAAAGAGAGTGAGACGGGGGATCGGATAGGTGACAGGAGGACTGCCACCCCGCCGACCTCAACCCATCCACAAGCCCCCAGCAACAAGGGCTAATGTGTGCGTGCGTGTTTGTTCACATGTTCTTCCCCCATTGTCATATGCCGGATTAGTCATGTCACGACGCGTCACATCGGGAGCAGAGCAAGGCAAAACAAAAGTAATATTAACTGCACCAACAAAATGACATTGACAGCTGACCGCAGCAGCGACGTCGGCAGCGCGCTGCACTTGCAACGCGCACAGACCTGAATAGTGTTGGCAAACACTCCGATTTCCAGCGGGAGGCTTTCGGTTTTTTTTTTGCTTGTTTGCCATTTATGGCCGTGACTGATTTTGGTTTTGATTTCGTCTCCGCGACTCTTTTCACCGCCTTTTTTTTTCTTGTCTTCTCGTTTTTTTGACAGCGGCCCACGCGAAACACGCAAATTTGTTTGTTTTACTCTGGGCCTTAAATTGAAACACAAACAGCAGAATGACATCATGGGAACGGCCAAAACACAAATTAAATTCATATTCCGAGGGACACTTTTTGCCTAATTACTGTTGACTGATGTACACACACGTTCTGCTTTTCGGAGTTTCTTTTTAGTTTGTTATCAGTTTGCAGCAGGGCTTATCTTTATCTCGTCGGACAATTTGTTTGCACAGCCGATAAGTTGGATAATTGGTCAAAAAGAAAAGAAGCCAAATTAACGGGAGAATGCTAATTTCCAGTTGAGATTTTGAGAGCTCGCCCTAAATTCGGAGTTGTGCAGCACTGATTCTCTGCCAATGCAACTGCAATGGAGAGAACGAATGAGCAAGAGAGAAGTTAACAACACAGGATGTGTGGGAGAGAGACGAGATCGGTTGCTGTGTGCCCTTCAACGAGAAAAGCACTAACAACAACAATGGAGTTGTCAGAGAGAGCACTATAATTGAATGAAAATTAAACGAAGGTAACGGGGAGGGGGGGACAACAGAATAAATCAAACACGCACACGACACGACGAAAGCAACAACACCATTTAATTGTTTGCACCAGATAACTGTAAAAGGGATTTCTTTCCGTTTTCGCACTCTCTTTCGTCAGAAAAACCGGAATACGACAGCAAAACAAATAGCCAACTCCACACAAATACTAACGCATGCAATGTGAGACACTCACTCACACGCACGTACCGAGCCGAGGTTTTACTTTTTTTCTTTTTCTTCAGTAGTTTAACAAACATTTAATGTTGCACAGTTCGGGGAAAAACAATAATACAAAACTTAAGCGTAGAGAAGGCGGAACGCGAAGGGGAACAACGCATGCGCGACACAAATTAAACGAACCAAAAAAAAAAAAAAAAAAGTAGCGACGCGCGTTTTCGTTTCTGGAAGCAACAGTGTGGCCAGATGAAATTTTGGCATTTTCCTTTAAACAAAATCTCAGAGTTGAAATTTTACCCTAAAAAATCCATATTTTTTGATAATTGCTTCACACCTGATACTCGAACCAGGGCAATCGCCGTTATCGTTGATCGTTGTGCAAAAATACCATACTGCTCCCCGATAACTTCGCCACCAGAGGGCGCTCAGTTACAGAGCATGCTGGCGGAGTTATACAACAACACTGTGCGCGGCAAATATTTTTAAATTCAAATGTGGTAATAAAAATTAATAAATTAAAAAAAAAACATAAAAAAAATTAAAAAAAAAAATAAATAAAAAAATTTAGAGGTACTTTAAGATATCCCTGTTAATAACAAATATAATCAATAAATAAAGATATATAAATAAATAAAAAATTTTAAAAAATATATAAAAAATATGTATAACTATATATTGATGTCCCTATTAATAACAAATATAATCAACAAGTGAAAAAAAAATATTAAAAAATTAAAAAATATATATAGATGTATATATACACTTTAAGAAATCCCTGTTAATATTAAATATAATCATTAAAAAATAGTTCAGTGACCATTGATAAGCCTTTTAGTTCAATTTATCTATCTAAAATAGGGCTTTAATGAGGCTGGAGGCAGCTTGCGTGGAAATTAAGTTACATTCTCAGGCTTTTGTTGGCCGAAAAAAAAAAAAAAAACTTGGAAAAGAGTTGCGTAGCTTCCATGGCGTTGAATGACATTTCAATTTATACCAGAGGCTATCTTTACATCTCTTGAGAGGTGCGTGTGATGACACTGAGCGAAATCATAGGGTTTCTGTGTGATTAAACTTGGATTTAATTTTATACTTTTAACAATAAAAGAGCTACTCAAGTGAGAAATTTCCTTATATTCTTAATTTAATAATAATATAATTATTAATTGATATTTTACTTTAAATGTCTTCCCAAACTTTATTTAAATTTCGCTTCTACCTTCTTTCGATTTATTTTCTTACAGTGTTGGGATTCTTCTACTTCTCTTCGTCTTCTTTCGGTTTCTTCTTGAGCTGTTCTTCTGCCGCTTCTTAAGCGTGTAAGCGTGGGGCTTATCAAAAAGCAACAACAAACTGGTAAAGAAAACCGCAAGAGGCAGCAAAGCGCGTCGCTCGTTTGCGGTTTTCTGCATTTCTGCCTCTTCCACGTTTCTCTCCGGCCTATTGCCTATCTCCCCCCACCCCCTCCTAATTTAACATTACTATTTTTTCTTTCCACGTTTCTCTTTTATGATTTGTATTGTTTGTGGCGCTGTGTGAGTACGTACGTTTGAGGTCTATGACCAAAAAGCCAGGCCAAAACAGCGCTTATCGTTACCTCCCTCCCTCCCCCCATATTTTTTTTTTTTAACTTTTCCCCATTTTAGCCACATTTTTCCTGCCCCTGTCCCACCCCCTTAGTTTCTCTATAAATCGTGGCGCCCCTGAAAATTCAACACGATCAAAGCGCTTTTCCGTTGGGAAATTAATTAAAAAAAAAAAAAAATTATAATCACAATTTTTATTTTTTTTAAGCTTTAAAATTTTTTTAAAAATTGTTTCAAAATCAAATCTTGGAAATAAAGGAAAATTTCCACTTTGTTTACTATATAAAAAAAGTTTTAAAATATAAAAAATAATTTTAAATTTATAATAATTTATAAGAAAGTGTAGTAGGTTTTTAGTATAAATAAAATAGGCCGATAATTAATATTAAAAAAAATAATAATAATTTTGTTTTCTTGAGCAATTTTTTTCTTCTAAAATTTTATTTAAAAACAAAAAGAAAATAATAATATAAAAAAAAAAAAAGAATAATAATGAAAATAAAAAAATATATAAAAAAAGAATAATAATAAAAAAAAATAAAAAATATAAATAAAATAATAAAAATAAATAATAATATTATTAAAATTTATATTAAATTATTGGTATTAAAAAAAAGTAAAAAGAAAATTTTAGAAAAAAAGGTTAACAAAGTCAAATTACTTTTTGTTTTTCTTAAAAAAAAAAAAAATATTAATTTTTAGCCTTAGGTATTTTATTTAAATTAAAAACAACCTATTAAATTTCGTATATATTATTCTTTAAAAAATAAGAAAAAAAACCCAAGTTAAAATGCCAACACTGCTCGCCACCTGAAAAAACCACTGGTCAGCCGCCAGTTAAAACTTAAAAACCTGGCCATTCATTTGCTCCTGACATATTCAAAAAAAAAACAACAAAAAATAATAATTGTACAAAATAAAATAACACTCAAAGCTAACCAGAAGTTTAAAGGGGAAGGTGGCCAAGGGGGCGGCGTTTCCCCTACGGCCTAGAGCTGGGAAACTATCGATGGTACTATCGAGGTATCGACTTTTTCCTTTTTTTGAGCCACCATCGATAGTTTTTTATCACTATCGATAGTACGGGACTATTTTTATATCTCTGCTTTGTTGCTGAAATTTAGTAAGAAAAATGCAAACAAATATATATATATATGTATATATATATTTTTTTTTTTATAATAAAAATGTATTCTAAATTAACTTAAATTGGAGTTGGTGGTGAAAAATATTAACTGAATCTCAAAAGAAAGGGTGCGTCTACGCCACGTCTTCAGAGTCTAAGCGTATGTTTAGCAATGGTAATACAATTTTATTTGTGCAAAGTTGCTTGGATAGAATATTTATGTTAATTACTTAGTCAAAACATATTGAATAGTATTATAATTCTATTTGAAATTGCTATAACTTTAATTTGCAAAAAGAATCGTAAAAAAACGATACTATCGATAGTATCGAATTTTCGTTTTCAAAACATCGAAAATATCGAATGGTGTCACTATCGATAGTTTCCCAGCTCTACTACGGCCATTCACTTGTGAAAAAAACAACAAAAGGGGAGAGGAAATGGGGGGCAACGGTTTGCCTTTCCAGTGGCTCTGTGAATTTTGCGTTTCTTTATGAATATGTTACGCTTTGGCGCGTCAAGGAATTGTACGCTATAGTCCACTGATCCGGTCATATCGGCAGAGGGCAAACCCCAACGGCTGTGGGAAAAAATCAGGGTGAGAAATGGTATATCGGGTTGCCCAAGAGATGATCAATATCTTCTCGATAATTGCCAACAACAGATCGATGAGAATCGGTTTACAAATAACAACTAAATGTGAGTCATGGTAGAACGCACTTTAAGAATATAAAAAGGAATATATAGCTGTTTTAAGCTAAAACTCTTCAAAGATCAATTTTGGAGACTGGAAATATCTAAGCAAAAGCTTAAACTAACACAAAAACTACATATAAAAAGCCCAAGAAAAAGTTTCTAAAGATCCAATCAATTCATAAAACAATCAAAAAACTCATATAATTTGGTGGATAAAGAGATATAGATAACAATTAATTAGGCCTGGGAAATATAATGATAACAATTCGCAATTAATACTTATAAACGGAAGCAGATAATACGATATCTGAGTAAAACAGCTGATGGTCCATTTGATTATTTTCTCATATCAAAAAAAAAACTCAGATTGAAGCAGGTATCAATCGGGAAAATGATTACTGAATGTGCTTAAAAATGTATGAAATTTTGATTTTCTGATAAGATAAAAGAATCAACGTTGATTTGGTATTGTTTTCCAGATCTACTTTCCAATATTCCCATGAGACACATATTTCCTAAAAATTTAACCGTTACCTTAACGAAGCTCATCTCTCTCTTGCGTCACAGAGAATATATATATATTTTTTTTTTACATTTCTTTTTGCTCAACTGCAGCGGACTGCGCAGTCGCTGCTGGCAGAGCAGCCGGCGCTTACCGTTTTACCGCTCAAATTATGCGCTGCTCTCCTTTGATATGTTTATGTTTGTGTTTATCGGCCTTTGTTCGCCGCCGTTCGCCTGGCCTGCCATATGTTATATTGTTAAATTGTTATTGTTGTTGCATTGTATAGTTTGTTGGTTTCTTAAGCTTTGGTTTTATGGCTCGCTCTCTTCGTAGCTTTTTTTTTTTTTTTTTTTTACATTAATAGAAACGCGACCGCGACAAATAAATTATTTTTAGAAAACGGTTTCATTTTCGCTCAAAGAAATGTAAACTTTTTCCCGCTCGCGTTTCTAAAAAAAAAAACAATGCATAAATATTTATGCGTGGCTTCAGTTTTCAGTTTCTGTTTCGGCTTCTTTTCTTTCGTTATATTTCGGTTGCTTTTTTTTTAACTCAAAGTTGGTAGTTTAGTTTTCTTTGTTGATGGTTTACGTTTTGCTTGTGGCTTTTTTGCTGTTGTTATTGTTGTTGTTGCTGGGCTTAGAAGCAGAAAGTGTAAGTTTCACTTTGCCGGAATTATATAATTAATGCGCTTTTAATAGTTTTCGAAAACCAGCAGCAACAACAACAACAATCGTGGCAATCTGGTTCAAAACTTAATATTTCTATTTTCTTTTACTCACCCTTCGTCCCGTTGGGAATGTCAAAGAAGAGGAGAAGGAGGAGCAGGAAGCACGGCGATAATCAATCAAACGGTTGTTTTTCTCCTTCTGGCGTGTGTTCTCCTTCCTTCTTCCTTTCGCCGCTCTTGTTACTGTTGTTGTTTTTTTTTTTTATCTCCAGTCTCCACTTTTTCGGTATGCGTATGTGTGTATTTGTGTGCGGCACTTGCACATTTGACTTTCTGTTGTTGTTGTTTGTTTTGTAGTAGACAAAAAAACGAGAACAAGAAAAAAAGAAAAAGTAACAACAAGAACTCTAAAAAAAACCGATCATAAACTAATGCCACCGAGAATGCAGCGGAATGAGGCACAAAAAAACAACAACACAACGAACAGCTGCAGCAGACAGAGCGCGGCCGTTAATTACATTAGAAATTCGTAAGCGGCAACAATGGAAAAATGCAACTAATTAGCAATTATGTGCGGCTCTTTGAACACTTCTTTCTGTTTTTGTTTTGCACAAATTCCAATTAGACGAGCGAACGGCCGCCGCCATCTGCAAATGCCATTTGTTCTTGTCGGTCCCGTTATTTCGCAGCACACACTGCGAGAGAGTGCGAGCGAGAGGTCGGTGCAGCCTAGGCGAAAAGCGAAAAAACGGTGCATTTCAGCGAGAGCGCGACAGAGACAAGAGAGATGACCTCGCCTGGATGGGCAATTAATATTCATTTAGTTTTTTGTCACAATTAAAAAAATGTGCAAAGGCAATTGGATGCTGCCTTTGCCGCGGCGGCGGCCCCTGTCGCTGCAACACTGCTGCTGGTCGTTGTTGTTGCCTTTGCTTTTGTTGTTTTATTTTTAGATGCAAAAAAGTTTTCACCGGAGAAGAACAGATTTCCGCTGCATTTGCGGCTGCTAGGCAAGGGTAAGCGGGGGAACGCGCTATTATCGCTGTCAATATTATTACACTTTACACTTGTGTTATTGTTATTATCGCCCAACGATCCGCGGTAGGGTTGTTGATAATATATCAAAATATCAATATATCGATATTTTTTTTCTGAAAATGATATATTTATATCGTAATTTTTTTTTGCCCAAATATCGAAATCACGATATTTTTTTTTGATATTTTTTGATATTTTTTCTTTGGTCACTCTGAATTTGAAAGCGTCTAATTTCGGTGGAAGAGGTTAAGTTCTGTGAAAAGAAAAGTGAAAATGAACGTGAAATCAAATTATACAAACATTACGAACGGCACAGCCAAGTGCAAGCATTGCGAGAGAATAATAAAAACAAGTGGCAATTCGTCGAACTTATCCTCGCACTTGCGAAATAAGCATTCCGAAATTTTCGCAACATGCGGTCAAAAAAAGGTATGTACATATGTATGTATGTTGGCATATGTGTGTATGTGGATGTGCGTTGAGGTGCATATGCATGCATAAATGCAAATTAAATCGAAATTTAACACGTGGTTTACTTCTAATTTCATTTTTAGCTGTATGTATGTTGGCATATGTGTATGTATGTATGTATGTTGGCATATGTGTGTATGTGGATGTGCGTTGAGGTGCATATGCATGCATAAATGCAAATTAAATCGAAATTTAACACGTGGTTTACTTCTAATTTCATTTTTAGCTGTATGTATGTTGGCATATGTGTATGTATGTATGTATGTTGGCATATGTGTGTATGTGGATGTGCGTTGAGGTGCATATGCATGCATAAATGCAAATTAAATCGAAATTTAACACGTGGTTTACTTCTAATTTTATTTTTAGCTGTCAGCGACATTTGATAAAGTGGTCACAATAAGTGAATCGTTTAAGAGTGCTGCAGCCTTTAAAGGTAAGTGTCTTTAGAACCGCTTGTTCTTTGAGCCAAAGACTTTAACTAACTTTAATTTTCTTTTCAGAAAATGGACACAAGACAAAGGAGATCAGTGAAGCCATTATATACATGATATGTAAGGACAATATGCCAGTCCGATGCGTTGAAAAAGAGGGCCTGAGAGGACTCCTTAAAAAGTGTGTGCCGCATTTTAAAATGCCTTCCAGATCAACGGCAAGTATTAAACAAATTAAATGTATTTTGATATACCTTCATAAATATATATTCTTTATTAGGTAACAACAATGATTGAAGAAAAATACATCCAGTGCGTTGGAGCTGTGGTGAAAATTCTGAGCAGCGTACAGGACTTTGCGTTTACCTGCGACGCCGTCACCATACCAAACTCGACTCGCTCGTTCCTTACCATCACGGCGCATTTTATTGCAAATGATTCGCTAAATGCAATCTGCCTTGCAGCGTCAAGAATGGATCAGGTATGTTAAAATATAATTTCTTGTATTTTAAATGTGTTTTATTGTCAATTGCGTGTCTGGTGCTCTTTCGATGTTATTTTATTATTATTTATTTTCCCGATTTTAATTTAGTCGCATACCAGTGATTATGTCTCCTTTTTGTTGGAAGAGACGTGCGCCGAATTTCAAATAGATGCAATTAAGTGGACAACTCTCACGACAGACAGCGCAAGCAACATGAAGTGCGCTTCCAAACTGTTTCTTGGGGTAAACAAACATGTGCCGTGTTTTGCCCACAGCATTAACCTTGTAGTAGATGCAACTATCAAGGAGATAAGTTCATTTTCCACAATCGTCGATAAAATAAAAAGGGTGGTCATGCATTTTAAACATAGTCCAGCTATGATGGACCAACTAAGAAAGGCCCAAACGAATGAGGGAACTCCCGAGGGAAAAATCAAAACCCTCATACAAAATGTAGACACCAGGTGGAATTCTTGCCTGGACATGATGGAGTCCTTTTCAGGCTTAGCGAACAAGGTGGCTCTTATTTTGCTACAAAAATCAGAACGTGTCAAAGGACTCCCCGAAATGCTCAATGTGTCAGAGCTAACGATATGTCGAGATCTATGTAGTCTCCTTCAACCTTTCAAAAAGGCAACGGAGCAAATAAGTGGAGAAAATTACGTGACAGTAAGTTTAGTAATACCACTTATATCAATGTTAGCAGATAAAGTTATAGCTCTGAAAATGGAGACGATTGAAGGCATGCGAGCCAAGGAAGCACTTATCAGAATTTCTGAGAAAAAGTTTCAGCCGTTTAAGAAAAATCCCATTTTGGTTAAGTCGACCTTTTTAGACCCTAGGTTTAAAAAAATGTATTTGGAGCCTTTAACGGTTAAGGATGCCATTAGAGATATTTCAATTGAAATCAATAACTTTACTGTTGAGGGAAGGGTATGTCATCAAGTTAAAATTTTGTTTACTTAAATAACTAATTGACTAATCAGTAAAACCAATAGATTTAATATTATAACATTTAATACTTTGCTAATAATAATTAAAACACATACTTTAATATATATATATATATACTAAATAATTTATTTACATTTTTACAGGTTTCCGATGTCGCAAAACCGGATGATGTATTCGACGATTTCATGAGCTCGCACAATAGCTCGATCCTGAAAGAGGTTCGCAGTGCGTCTGAGGAAAATAAGGAGCTGAAACTCTACTTCAGCTTGCCTCAAGCTGCGTGGGAAAGCAACCCTTTAGACGTTTGGAAGTCCCATAAAGCGACCATGCCGGGACTTTATAAAGTGGCCCTCAAACATTTAATAACCCCGGGTAGTTCGGTGCCGTCGGAGCGGCTGGCATCGGCTATCAAATGTGTTGTGTGCGACGCGAGAAGTAGGATGACGGACAGACACATAAAACAACGAGTATTTTTGAAATCTCTGAGTCCCAAATATTGGGTTTAATTTTGAATGTTATGAAGTTAAGTGAATATCATGAAGTTAAGTTTAACATTGAATGTTACAAAGTTAAGTTGAATATTGAATTTTGAATGTTATGAAGTTAAGTGAATATCATGAAGCTAAGTTTAACATTGAATGTTACAAAGTTTAATTTTGAATCTCATAAATTTAAGTTTAGTATTGAATCTCATAAATTTAAGTTTAGTATTGAATCTCATAAATTTAAGTTGAGTATTGAATCTCATAAATTAAGTTGAGTATTGAATCTTATGAAGTTTAGTTTATTTTTGTATCTTATAAAATGATATAATAAATATAAAAAATATAATTAAATAATTAAATAATCATGTCCTCCTTGTCGTCTTTTTATTTCCGGATTCTCTTAACTGTTGAATCGCTGAATCGTTGCAAATTCAACAAAAATTGTCAACAGTTAAAGGATTCCCCCAATTGTGTAGAAAAACAATTTTTTTGTTTTAATTTAACAAAAAAAATATCAAAAATATCAAATATATCGATATTTTTTTTTGATATTTTAAATATTATTATCATCTCTTCCCAAAAAAAAAAATATCATCGATACGATATTTTTTTCAAATTTCGACAACCCTAATCCGCGGTCAACGTCGCGTCGCGCGTCTTTTTTTTGTTTATTTGTTTCAGTGTTGCCAGATTAAACTTTGGCTGAAAACTAAAAAATCTCAAAAAGCTAAAATTTGGGCCTAAAAAATCCACACGTGATACAACCACATCTGATACAACAACCTCTGCTCACTCGGATGAGAGTAACAGAGCTTGTTAACAGAATTTTCCTTGTGGAATCTTCAGAATGAGAGTAACAGAGTGTTGCTAACAGAGTTTAGCTTTTGAATAAGCAGACTTAAGAGTAACAGAGTTTGGCTAACCGATAAGATTAACAGACTTACCATTGTGGTTTCGTTCCTTGCTATTTGTCATGTTGGTTTGGAGATTTGCTAAAATAGCTGAAAATAAATAAAAAAAAATAAGAAATTAGTTAAATTAAATAAATAAAATTTAAATTAGTTAAAATAAAGCAGGGACTTAATTTAAAAATATTAAATATAATTTGGTAAATAATATATAACCTTATTTTAAATTTAATGTTGTTTAAAATCAACTTTTGGAGAGAACTCCACATTGATAAAAATCTAAGCAATCGATGTATCGATTGGATGCCGGTACTGTCATCTCAACTGCGCGGCCATTGCTTAAATAAAAGTTCACGTTACTTGAATTTTGCTTTTTTTTTGTTTCACGTTTTGTTTTTTTTCTAAGAATTTGTTAAAACATGTCTTTTGAGCTGTTTAATAATGTTATGCTCGCGCTTCGTGCTTTAGTTACCCATGTGCCATCCTCCATTATTAATGTGCTTAGGAAATATAAGAAGACACAGGGATTTCTGCTGCCCCATCGCCGGCTGGGCTTTGCAACTCCAGAGGAGTTTATCCGTGCCACCGGTGAGTATAACATGTCCAAGCGCGGCAATGAGGTTTTCATTAGCGCAAAATTCGACGAAGATGCCACCAAGCAAACCAGAGAGAAACGGATCCGTGAGCTCATGCTACGTCAGTCTCTGGTAAGAAGAAATCTCCTGCCATGTAACCTGAAGAGTCCTATATCCACCCACCTTATCTTTTTAGATCAAATTTGCTAATCGCGGAACTGGACGCCGTCGTGGATAAACGGCGGCTATGAGAGATACACTATCCTGAAGCTCCACACTCAAAAGGGGAATTCCCTCCCTGAGCTTTGGGATTCACTGAGATGCCACAAGAAAAAGACTTGAAGAAACCTGATGCCTTTGTACAAAATCCTCTCAAGTACACTTAACCAAAGAGGCCACCTAAGTGATTATTAATTAAAAAAAAAAAGCACTGAAACGTTGATATAATCAAGCGGGAGATTAAATAAGTAAAATATGTATTCCAAGGACTTCTTATTCACAAGCTTTAATGGTTTTTAAACTAAGATGATACAGTCTGGAGCTACTCCTTAACCCGCTGCACCTCGCTGGCATCGAATGGGATCTCCTCCACCTTGGTGAATCCCTGGAAGCGTATGATCTTGCCGGTGCCCTCTACTTTGAGATGCTTGGCAAACTGCTGGGCCGGTGACTCGGCCAGATCCTCCTCCGTCTTGTAGCCATAGAACTTGGCCCAATCGTTGCGTCCGGTATAGACCATGTAGCAAACAAGGCCGAATGCCTGCCAGGCCAAAACTGCATAGCCGATGCTCAGGCGCCGCTTCCAAAGCTCGGCCCGGTGCTCTGGTATGGGGTTTGTGTTGCGTCGCACCCACCGGCGCAGCCATTTCATTTCGAATAGCGCCATTTTGCCGCCAGTAAACACGCACTTTGATTTTTTGTTTTTAAATGAAAGATTATATAAAAAAAAAAAACGTTGCGAGGCGAAATTCGACGAAACAGTAAACAAAAACGGAGTATAAACAGCTGATTGCTTGAAACAGGGTTGCCAGACCTAGGCAAGGTAGCAGAACACACCGTTAACCCTTAGGCTGAGGCATGTCATTTATGTGTGCTTTCAGTTTATTATTCATTTATTATTTTATACATTTAAATAAGTGAGATGTAATCATTTTAGAAATCAAATTTAATAGAGAATTTTCTTTTAATTCAAATTTTAGAAATCACATTTTATAGAATATTTTATTTTAATTAAATTAAATTATTTGCTTAAATTTTGAATTTTTATGTATGAAATCAATTTTAATTATTCATTTTTTAGTTTAATTTAATTACTCAAAAAATATTTATTATAATTTTGTGTAAAAAAATAAAACTAAAAAATAATGCATTATTTTATCGTAAAAAATAATGCATTATTTTAGCGTTATTTTTTTAGCTAAAAAATTTTAATAAATGAGATGTGATATACAAATACAAAAAGTTCTTTTTATTTAATAAAATAAATTAAATAAATTAATTAATGATTTTTTTAAATTTAATTTATTTGTAATTTTATTTAAATTAATTATTATTTTGAGCAAGAAAATAACACTTATAAAATAATGATTTCTTTTTTTTTTTTTTTTAATAAATAAAAATAACGTTTAAAACCAAGTACAAATAATAATCAGTTTTGAGCGATTAAATAAATAAGAATAAATCAAATAAAAAAATATATAATAAATTAATAAATATAAATAAAATACATATAAAATAAATAAAATATAAAAAAAAATTAATAAAATCATAAAATATTTTTCTATTTAAAATAACATTTCCTAGAACCAAATTAAAAATAAAACAAAGCACCCTTTGCTTTTTAAATTACTTCACTATGTTTCACAAAAGCCTTTCAGTTCATTTGTATACAAGTACTTTAAATAACAGACATAATTTTATCAGCTAATAAGTGAAATATATATAAAAATTAATTTCATTTTGACTTTAACCCTTAAGAGGCCACCGCAAGTTGAGTCAAGAACCTGCCGACAGTCTGGCAACGCCAAACAGCAGTGTCAACGGTGCTTTGCAAACAGGCGATTTTTGTTGTTGTTGTTGCTGCTGCTGGTTGCTGGCCCCTCTGCTTCTCCAGAAGATAATCCCACTTCGATCGGGGCAAACAAAGCCGCCAAGCAAACGCTTTATTTACGCCAATCGAAAACAGAAGGCCAGTAGCCACCACCACATAGCCAGGAGCAACATCATCAAAAGGAGACGAGGAGCGAAGACGTAGAACTTTCAAGAAATTAGACACCTTTGTGCAGCGCAGATACACTTTCCAAGCAGCCAGCAGCAGGCAGGGCAGGCGGCGGCAGGCTAGGCTAGGAGGCCGCCTAGAGGCTCAGACTGAAGGTCGTCAAAGGGTTGGTCTCCGAGTCCGAGAGAGTAAGTGCATCCTTTCAGTAAGTGCCTTTACTTTACTTTTTTTCTTTAGCACAAAAATGCCCACCACCCAGCAGCAGTCACCACCGCAGGGCCATGTCCTGGGACAAGGACAAGAACAAGGACATGGCCTAGGAGGCCAGCCAATAATGGAACAACAATTGTCCAAGGCCACCGATAAAGAGGGCAACAACGAAGCCGAAATGGGTGGCAACAATATACCCAATCTCTCGACCATGTCGCTGGACGAACTAAAGCAACTGGACAGAGATACCGAATTCTTCGATGACTTTATCGAGGAGATGTCCGTGGTGCAGCATCTAAACGAGGACATTGATTCAATGATGATCCAAGTGGAGAGCATCTCAAGTGGGTAGAGAGTGGGTGTGGAGTGTGAATCCCTTAACTGAATTTCCTTAACTTTTCCCCAGTGGAAAACGAGACCAAGGGCACGCATTTGGTGGAGCTAAAGCGACGGCTCAGCGATGATTACACTGCCTTGAAGACGCTGGGCGAGAAGTGCGACCAGCTGAACAAGAAGTACATGAAAAAGTCCGAGGAGTATGAACCGCAGCACATAAGGGTGAGTGTTGGTTGGGGTGAGTCATGTTTTGTGGCTAATAAAATCGGTTATTTAGAAGTCCAATAACTAAATCCTTATGTTTTCTTACAGGAACTCCTACAGATAGCCGCCTCCAATGCCGATGCCGACTGTGATCGTCATGTGGAAAACTTTCTAAATGGCAAAATCGATGTTCAAACGTTTCTCAACACGTATCAGAGCTCCAAGAAGATTAGCGCCGAGCGCAAGGCCAAGGAGGAGCGTCTGGGTACCCAGTTGAGTGCTTTGGAAAGGGCAGGGATCTAGGAATGTCAGCATCTCACATCTACAAGAACAACTCTCCCCCCCTCCAAAACCCGCCACGAGTCGCAATATAGAGTCTAAGAGGATCGAAAAAAGTCAAGAAATGGAGCAAATGGAGTCCAGGCATCGGGCGTTGATGATCATCCCCCTTGGTGAATGAAAGCGCTAGTTGTAGGCTAATATTTAAAATACTTGTAAATCGGTAGGGAGCTACACACACACACTTGCATATATAAACCCCCCCTAGAGGGGGAATCCCCCTGTTCCAAAATTTTTAATTACCAAAACCAATCATAATCGCATGTATTCCCACTTTTTAGGCTAAACAACATTATTGGGGCTTTTATTTTGTATTCTCAAGCCCAGCCAAAATCGTTCAATTTGTATTATGTATGTTTAATAAACATGATTTGTCTCGGAAATGGAATTGTATTTTGTTCTCTTTCTAATTCGTGCTAGTTTTTTGGAATATTATTTTGTTAATAAATTTATAAATTTTATAATAATTTTATTTTAAGTATTCAATAGGTTTGTTTAGTTTTCTAAATATGTATATATTTTCTAAAAAATAAGTATTTCTTTTTATTTTAAGTTCAATTTTTTTTAATACGAAAACCTTTTGATATAAATTAATAGAAGATGTTAAATCGGTTTTTTAGTTTTCTAAATATATATTTTATAAAAAATAAGTATTTGTTTATATTAAATTTTTTTTTTTTTAAATATAAAAACCTTATAAATAATATATGAAATATAAATTATATATATTTAATCGATTTTTTAGTTTTCCAAATTAAAAAAAAAATATGTATGTATATTTCCTGAAATATAAGTATTTGTGTATATTTTAAATTCTGTTTTTAACCTTCCGAAAATATATACATATTGCTTAATTCATATATATTTTAAAAATGTAATTATATATTATTTGCTTAATAAGTTAATAATTTAAAAAAAAAAATATTTTCTAAAAAAAAGTATTTCTTTATATTTAAAATTATTTTTTTTAATATAAAAACCTTTTAAAAAAGAATATTTATATATTGCTTAAATTATAATTAATTTTTTAAATTTAATATATATTATTTTGTAAATAATTAAATATTTTTCCAAATTTTGTATATTATATTTTTTATTTCTAAAATCAAAAACCAAAAATAATTAAAAGATTAAGAACTTCTTTTGGCGTTAGGGTATTTTTGCCCTCTCTAGGTATTCTTTTTGGTATTTTCAGAGATCCGCCTCTTGGCCATAAATTCAATTTTAGCCTCTAATTACCCCCCCACCGCTCCACCGCCTGAAGCTCCACAATGGACACCGTGTGGGCCAGCAGCAGCTATAGCTGATAAACGCAGCTCCTCCTCCTCCGCCGTAACGCCGGCTGTGCCCTTGCCCCTGTCCTTCACTTGGATTCACCTAATCTCTCGCTCTCTCTCTTCGCGATAAGTCACTTCTCCTTCGCTATTCGTCATTGGAGAAGTTCACCTGCATTTGCAACCCACAATCATGACGGAATCCATCGATGTGCTGGTCTTTGGCTCGGCCATCATTGATTTCATATGGTGAGTGCTCTGGATCAGTCACTTGTTATCCTTCTTAATCCCTTCCCTACTCTATCAGCTACACCCCTCGCCTGCCCAAGCCCGGGGAAACCCTTCACGGCAGCAGCTTCCAGACCGGTTACGGCGGCAAGGGCGCCAACCAATGTGTGGCCGCCGCCCGTCAGGGTTCTCGCACAGCTTTGGTGGCCAAGCTGGGTGCCGATAGCTTTGGCAGTGATTACCTGCGTCAATTGGCAGCCGAAAAAGTCAATGTGGAGCATGTGCAGCAGCTGGAGGGTCAGACCACGGGTGTGGCCCAAATAGCCGTATCCGAGGGCGGTGAAAACAACATTATAATCGTGGTGGGAGCCAACAATTCTCTCAGCTCCAATGATGTGACCAAGGCCCAGTCCCTGTTCGAGAAGGCCAAGGTGCTGGTGTGCCAGCTGGAGACGCCCGTCTCGAGCACGGAGACGGCACTCAAGACCTTCCGGGGTATATCCATTTTGAATGGTGCCCCGGCCATGGAGAATACACCACCGGGATTGCTGCAATTGGCCTGCATTTTTTGTGTAAACGAAACGGAGGCGGCGTTAATGACGCGAATGCCTAGCATTGACACGGTGGAGTAAGTTGCTCTTCAAAAAACTAAACAAAACTATGGCTAATCCTCCTCCTGGATTCCTTTCACAGAGAAGCCAAAATTGCCGTGGAAAAGCTGTTACATATGGGTGCCAATACGGTGATTATAACGCTGGGCAAGCTGGGCGCTGTTTTGGGCAACACTACGATGAAGCTGGAAGATTACCAGCATGTGCCTGCCCCTAGAGTGGCGCCGGAAAAGGTGGTGGATACCACTGGAGCCGGTGATGCCTTCATTGGTGCCTTGGCCCATAATATAGCAAGGCATCCAAAGGGTAAGCTGGCGGATCTTGTGGCCGCCGCCTGTGAGGTGGCCTCACAATCCGTTCAGTTGCCTGGAACACAAGCCAGCTTTCCGCGTAGCACTTAGCTGGGAGTACACTTACTAGCCAGGATTTGCAATAAATCATCTTTCTGTTTGACGTGACAATGCTCTCTATTTAATGGTAATCGTAAGTATAAAAAGAAGTTCTTTCCAATGGGCTACACGGGCAATTTGTTGGTCCACAAAATGATGAAGACGTTGACTGTTGGCGGCGGCGGTGGCACATGGTGTGTGTGTGTTGTTGTTGATCTGTGTGTAAAAATGCTACATCCTTGTGGCTCCTCCCTGCTGGTATCACATCACTTTTTGCCTGACTTTTTGATGCCGCCACCAACAAGAGGTCCCTTTTTGGATGCATTCGCCTTGGCCGCCTCCATGGCCTTCTGCTGCTCCTTTTGCTTCTGCTTGAAGGCCATGTCATCTTCGTCCAAGTCCTTGCTGTCCTTCTTAGGCGCCTTCAGTGGCTTCTTCTTACCGCCCTCGCGTCCAGACATGATTCTTTGCTATTGATTTTAAAGGGGAAAGGGAAAATGCCAAAAATCAGCAAAAATAAGCGGAAAATTCGATGCCCAAGGAAAGTCACGCACCTTTATCACACGTTTTCCTCGCAATCAGTGTGACCGTAGCGGTAGGGCTAGAAATAACTGTTCAATACATGACAAAAATACTAAACCACAATTGTTTTTGGTATTTAGCTTGCTATCTCTTTCTAGCACATGTACTTGTTATGGAATAGAAAACGGCGAAAGCGTATGCGATAGCTGCATTTTAGAGATGCAAACACATCGATAGTCAGGACATTAGTGATGGGAAAACAAACGATAGGTGAGTACACCGATGTTTTTAACATGGCAAGCGGGATTTTAAAGTCTGGAAAAACACTTTTTTGTACATAAATTTATAATTTGTGTTTCATTTCCGATGTCAATAAATATGATTTCGATAAAGAGAGTCGACCAACAACTAACAAACGGCATATCGATGGAAGAACGGCTCGGACGAAGACGCTAAACTTGGAACGGGATTTGGCTAGACATTCTTGGTTGCCTTACCTCCATGTTTCTAGGAGCTTCTCCTGGCTGCAAAGTTCCCAATGGGTTACATGAGATGCCCCAAGCCTGTTGCAATTCTTATATATTTGCATTGAACCATCGCAGTTATCGATAACATCGATTGATTTGATAGCTTCGGTGCAACACTGCGTTTTTTTTGCTGTTCTCTTTCGGCTGTTGTTTCGTGTGTTGACCAATAAATTTTTCGCATATTTTTTCGACTTTTCCTCAAACCAAGAACCGCAATAAGCGAATTAGGCCAACGCCGTTAGCCAGCGCAGCAACCGCAAAGCGAATCTTTGGCCCAAAAACGCACGTGTAAAGCGTTCTTGCCCAGCAAGCGCAGCAGCAGTAGTTACCGCAGAGCAGAGAGATCCATCGGCAGCCGACGGCGACGACGACGTTCCAGGAAGCGACATTTACGCTACACATACAACAACAACAACAGCAGCAGCAACGGCGGGAGCAGCGCGTGAAAGCGAGCAAGCGAAAGAAGAGAGCAGCAAGCAACAAGGACTCGGCGAAAACAGAGAATCCTGTCCAAGATTTGGGAATCCTGCCAGCACAGCACAAGCAAAGCATCAAGCGGCATCATCAGCAGCAGCAGCACCAGCAACTGTTGTTGTCTTTTTTTTTGCTCTTTTTGATTTGACTTTCTTTTGTTTTGTGTGGGCCCAAGCCCAGTTGTCCAAGTCGTTGCCCAAATCCCTCAAAGTCGGACAATTAAAGATGGCCGCTGCCGGTGGGAGCGCAGTGAATGCGGTGAACGATTGCTTTAGCATCGGATCCACAGTGGTCTGTACGACCTGTTTCAACGAGGAGGTGGAGGGCGAGGTGCTGGCCTTCGATCACAACACAAAGATGCTTATCCTGAGTATCCTTTTTACAAGAAAAATATATGAAAAAACAAAAATCTAGAAAAAAAACTAGGAAAATCTAAAACAAAATCTAGAAAAAATCTAGGAAAATCTGTACAAAATCTAGCAAAAAATCGAGGAAAATCTAAAACAAAATCTAGAAAAGGTCTAGGAAAAATCGAGGAAAATCTAAAACAAAATCTAGAAAAAATCGAGGAAAATCTTAAACAAAATCTAGGAAAAAACGAGGAAAATCTAAAACAAAATCTAGAAAAAAATATAGGAAAAATTGAGGAAAGTCTAAAAGAAAATCTAGGAAAATCTGTACAAAATCTAGAAAAAATCGAGGAAAATCTAAAACAAAATATAGAAAAAATCTAGGAAAAATTGAGGAAAATATGTACAAAATGTAGAAAAAATCGAGAAAAATCTTAAACAAAATCTAGGAAAAATGTAGCAAAATCTAAAACAAAATCTAGGAAAAATCTAGATAAATCTGTACAAAATCTAGAAGAAATCGAGGAAAATCTAAAACAACATCTAGGAAAAATTGGGGAAAATCTAGAAAAAATTGAGGAAAATCTAAAACAAAATCTAGGAAAAATTGAGGAAAATCTACAAAATCTAGAAAAAAATCGAGGAAAATCTAAAACAAAATCTAGAAAAAATAGTAAAATCAAAGTGAAAGTTCCTGTTTTTTTATATAATATTTTTCTGGTTATCCTTACATCTTCTACCCCACCCTGCTAAATCCTCTCTAGAATGCCGGTCCAAGTCCACGGAGGAGCTGAGTGATATCTATGCCATGAACCTCTCGCTGTGCAGCAACGTTCAGGTGGTCAAGGAATGCAATGGCAACATTGATGATCCTCAGAAGCTCAACCTGGAACAGGTAAGTCTAGGCCACTAGCTCTTTTTACTAAGCTAATTACTCTTTAAAAATCAGGTGAAAATGCGCCTGAGGAAAACAGTGGAGCGAAGGCAGGACTATCTCAAGTCCAAGAATGCGGATGTCAGTCCAGAGGCGCAGGAGCTTTATAGAGCGATAGCCAAACAATACGGGGTATGCTCTCTCCTCTGAGATTTAGCGGTTTCCTAACTCTTAACTCTCTTCTTTTTCATTTTTTTTTTTTTTTAGTACAATGAGGTCTCCTGGCAGGGACTCAACATACAAATACTGAATGAAGTCACCATTTCGCCGCCGTACCGAGTGGACAATGTGGTGTCCAGCTCGAACAACGAAACATCATGCAATTACATTAAACGGATTGTAAGAAACTCTTTCAAAAATCAACAACACTTAGAACAGGATTGTCGTTAAAGCAAAATTAATTAATTTTTTAATTATGTACAAGTCATTATTTGTTTTTTTTTTTTTTTATAACAAATTAATTGGCTTGTCACATAAATTGAAATCAGTATTCCCTTAAAAACTTTAAAGAATTTTGTTTGTGCATTTTAAATCAAAATTTTGTGAAATTTACATCCTACATTCTATATTTTTAATTTAAAAAAATAAATTTAAAAAATTTGAGAAATTTAATTAAAACACAAAATAATAATAATATTTAGAAATTTGTGAAATTTTATTGCAACTTAAAATAATAATATTAATTAGAATTTTGTGAAATTTACGTCCTATATTTCTGCATTTTTATTTAAAAATTTGAGAAATTCAATTAACACACTTAATAATAATAAAAATAATAATGAGAATTTTGTGAAATTTAATTCAAGCCCGAAATAAGGTGCTTCAAGTATTTTGATTTCAATAATAATTATAAAAAGTTATTATAATAATTAATAATTAAACTGTTATTCCGAAATCTCTGACACTCGTGTTGCCTGAACCACTTTAAAAAGAAACCCTAAATAATAAATTCTATAATAATTTCTAATGCCAGATTAAACAATTTTTCAACACGAGACCCTCGCCCGTGCCAGAAAGCGGCGCTGGGGCCAGCACCTCGTCAGCATCCGTGTCTCCCACGTCCTCATCTCTGTCGTCGAGTAACGCTGCATCTGGATCTCCGGTTCCCGCAAACTAATTAATAAAAAGAGTAACAAAAAAAAAAAACAAAACAAAAAACAAAAACAAAACAAAAAACAAATGTGCTTCAAAAAGGACATACAATTTGTTTTCTTTTTTTTATACATAAATATGTATTTTTTTTTTAGGGTTCGGGGGGGTTTTTATATAAGGAATTTCAGGTCTTTTGAAAGGCAATTCTTTAATTTAAAAATTAACAAAGACTTGCATTCAATTTTTTTCTCTAAAAAAGAAAAATCATTTTCAAGATCTTTTTAAAAGAAATTTTCAAATATTTTATGTTTTAATATATAAAAAAATTAATTAAAAATAAATGTAAATTTCTTTAAAAAAAATCATGTCTTCAAAATTTTTGTTTTTAAGAAATTAAAGAATATTTTATGGATAAAAAAAAATAGAGAAATTAATTTTAAAAAAATATTTGTAAATTTCTTGAAAATAATATATATTTTCAAGATTTTTTAAAATGAAATTTAGGAATAAGGAATTTCTTTAAACAAAATTCAAGATTAATTAATTAATTCAAAATTTTTAATAAGGAAATTTACGAATATTTTATGTCTTAAAAAACATATTTTTTTTTTAATAATTTTTTTTTAAATTTATTTTATTTACGAATATTTTGTCTTTAAAAAATACATATATTTTTTTTTAATAATTTTTTTTTAAATAATTTTAAATATTTTTATTTAAAGATTTTATGAAATGGTTAATTAAATTTAGAAACAACACCGATAACTGCCTGCTTCCAGCTATCGATAGCCGATAGAGCAGCATGTAGCCCCTTCCCTGTGAATGGCTCTTTTGAGAAGCCAGCTGAAAAGGCCGCATTTTTTTCGTATTTTCCCAAATTTCACCAAATAACACAAAAAAAATAGAAGCGAAAAACAATGGAGGATGTGCAAAAACACAGTGTTCACACACTGATATTCCGCTCCCTGAAGCGCACCCACGACCTGTTCGTGTCCAACCAGGGAAACCTTCCGGAAATTGACGACCGGCTGTAAGTACTTTCAAGTTTCTAAAAGAAAATACAACTTATTGTGGCTTGTTTTTTCTGAGACAGAGAGAAGCTGCGACGCTCTATCAAGGCCAGGGACAGCTATGGCCTGGTCCTGGACAAGGCCGCCAAGATAGGCGAGGCCAGGAGGGGAGCAGGAGCTCAAGGGCCGGGCGACAAGCCGCTGCTGGCCATAACCGATGGCGCCGAGGTGGTCAAGTATGCAAGTGGCAGAACAATAGATAAACCAGGAGGAGGAGGTGGAGCACCACTGGTCACTGGCAGCCACACATCCCTGGTGCGCGCCTCTCTACCCAACAATGGAGGTGGTGCAACCGACAGCAGCAGCACTAAGGGTACAAATGGCAGCGCCAGCAACCTGCAATTGATACCGAAAAAGGCACCAACTATCCCAAAACCCAAGTGGCATGCCCCATGGAAGCTCTCACGTGTCATTTCCGGCCATTTGGGCTGGGTACGTTGCATAGCCGTGGAGCCCGGTAACGAGTGGTTCGCCACTGGGGCCGGTGATCGTGTTATCAAAATCTGGGATTTGGCCAGCGGCAAACTAAAGCTCTCCCTCACCGGTCATGTGAGCACTGTACGCGGTGTGGCCGTCAGCACCAAGCATCCGTATCTGTTTAGTTGCGGCGAGGATAGGCAGGTCAAGTGCTGGGATCTCGAATACAACAAGGTGATACGTCACTATCATGGTCATCTATCGGCTGTGTATTCACTGGCCCTGCATCCCACCATCGATGTGTTGGCCACCTCGGGCCGGGATTCGACAGCCAGGATCTGGGATATGCGGACCAAGGCAAATGTTCATACCTTGACGGGACACACGAATACGGTGGCCAGTGTGGTGGCACAAGCCACAAATCCACAAATTATCACCGGTTCCCATGATTCTACTGTGCGACTGTGGGATCTGGCCGCCGGCAAAAGCGTCTGCACGCTGACCAATCACAAAAAGTCTGTGCGCAGTGTGGTTTTGCATCCATCGCTGTACATGTTCGCCTCCGCCTCGCCGGACAACATCAAGCAGTGGCGCTGCCCGGAGGGTAATTTCGTTCAGAACATCTCCGGGCACACGGCCATCGTGAATTGCATGGCAGCCAATAATGATGGTGTCCTGGTATCAGGCGGCGACAATGGCACCATGTTCTTTTGGGACTGGCGTACTGGCTATAATTTCCAGCGTTTCCAAGCGCCCGTTCAACCTGGTTCGATGGACAGTGAAGCGGGCATCTTTGCCATGTGCTTCGATCAGTCGGGCACGCGGCTAATCACCGCCGAGGCGGACAAGACCATCAAGGTGTACAAGGAGGATGATGAGGCCAGCGAGGAGTCGCATCCGGTCAACTGGCGGCCGGAGCTGCTCAAGCGACGCAAGTTCTAAGCCGAAGGAGGAGTCGGGCTTTCATAGACTTTAAGCAAATTTTAGGTTACAATTCTCCAAAAACGATTTCATTAAAAAGAAAAGAAAGAAAGGAAACTACGAGGAGGTGAACTTGGTTTAAGTGGGGAATCCTTGAAGCCTTTAGCTTCTGGAGGGTGAATGATGAACATAAAGCCTGCCTAAAGCCAAAAAGAAGCATCTTTAGCGAAGGACTTGGGTTTTTCTTTGATTTCTTTTGAAATTTCTAAAGTTTTTCAAAAGATTTCAGTAAAAAAAATTCTAATTTCTAAAATTTTTCAAAAGATTTCAGTAAAAAAAGGAACCTATTTACAAGTAGGTTTACTTATTTTAAGGAACTTGGTTCAAGTGGAGAATCCTTCAGCTGCTGGAGCTCGAATGATAAACATATATGATTTATATCCATATTTCTACAATTTTTCAAATGATTTTTTGGTTTTCGTAACTTTTTTTTCTTATTTTTTATTTTGAATTTTCAATATTTTAGGAATGACTCAAAATCTACTGAACGAAACATTTTCAAATTTGGTACATAAATTCTTTAACCAATTTTACAAATTATATACAAAATATATATATACAAAAAATAAGTAGTTGAATATGGAATGAGACTTACCTTGTCCCAAATTCGGCATTTATGGGCAAACCAAGGGAAGCGATTTGAACTTCCGATTGATTTGAGATTTCCCAGAGTTGCATTGGTTTTTTAATCTGTAATTAAAATGAATAAATAAATTTTAAAATATATATATGAAAAATTAATTTGAAAATATTTCAAATTTAAATATATAAACAATTAATTTAAAAATATTTCAAATTTAAATATATAAAAAAATTAATTTAAAAATATGTTAATTTTAAATTTAAATTCATTAATAATTTAATTTAAAAATATTTTAAATTTAAATAAATACTATTTTTTATTTTTAATGATGGATAAAAAAAAAACTAATTTGAATTCTTTGCCTGTTTAGACACTCTTTCGATATATATTTCGATAAATATCGACTACATTTGATTTAAACCGCTTCAATCCCATGTTAAAAAGTAGTTTTGAAGGTCCCACTCGAAAGCCCAAAACCCACTTGGTTTTGGAATAAAAACACAAAGTTGTAACTTTCTAAGCCCAAGAAGAAACGAAATATAGACGATATCGCGCGCACTCATTTCATTAGAGTTCTTGGTATTTTTATTGGTTTTCGGTTTTGTTTTCTTTTTTTTTTACACATAAATAATTTGAATTATTTGCTGCATAAATAATAATAATAATAATAATAATAGCATAGTAATATATATTGTTCAAATATTGTTTTGTTGTGGGCTCTTCTCTGTTTATATTTGATTTTATTTTGTTGTTAGTTGCGTTTTGTTTTGTTTTTTTTCTCTTTTCGCTATAGTTAACAAAGAAAAAAAGCTCTAAACGATTTGTGTATTATAGTAATTTATTAATTAATATTATGTTGTCTAGTCCTTTGCGTACATTTTTATCATTTCATGTTTTAAAATCACAAATAATTGTTGTTTGAAACAAATCTTATATTTTTCCACTTTTCCATCTTAGCTGCGTCTCTCTCTCTCTCTGTCTATCTATCTCTTTCTATATCTTGTCTCGCTCGAATATATCAACTGTCTCGCTCGCTCTCGTTCGTGACTCGACTTTTAAGTGTTGTTGTTCTTTGTTATCTTTATGCTTTTTTTTAAGTTATACTTGTGTTGCTCTCTCTCTCTCTCTCTCGCTCTCGTATATATATATATGTGTGTGTAAATCTTTTGTGTTATTTTGTTTCTTTCTTGTATTTAGTTTAGTTGCTTTGTTTTAGTTTTAATATTTATCGTTTTTTGCTTTGTTACAACATCACCACCAACTTTTCTCTCTGTGTTTCAACGCTTATTTACAACTGACAAAAATAATCGCTAAGCTTTCGATAAGTCTTTCGATTATTTTGCCTGCTATTAAACAATTATCGATTAAGTATATAATATATAGCATAGAAAATACACACACTCTCTCTCTCTTTCTCTTTCTTTCTCACACACACGCACACGCGTTAAGCTTAACTCTAAATTGAAATTAAATTTACAAATTAAAATCCAAAATAATTGTTTAAAAAACTAAAGCAAAAAATATTACAATCTGATGTCGGGATTTTGGAACTACATATAACTGGAACCGAAAAAAATCAGAAGCTTTTATAACTGATTATTGGCTGCTGCTGCTGGTGTGTGTGTGTGCGTGCACTGCAATGTGTGTTAATAAATAATTATATATGACTTAGCCGTAAGATTAAACGAAAGTTGCTTTTTTTATATTTAAAATATATATAGTATCCGTGGGGGAGGCCGAGATGCGTGACACTTGTTCAAATTTCGAGCTGTTTTGCTTCCCTTTTGGTGGTGGAGCGGAGTCTGGCCTGGGCAATCCAACCCATAACATAATTCCCTTCGCTCCTTCCAACTGTCTGTGTGTGTGTGTCTCTTATCCTTTCTTCTCTTTTTCTTTCTCTCACTTTTTCTTTTTTAATTATAAATCTTGATGGCCTTCTCGGAAAAGTTGAGCGAGCTACGCTTACGCGATTTGTTGATGTGATCCAACCCAAAGAAGGGCAACTGACCGCTGGTCCAGGTCCTATATACATCCAGATCCACCGGCGTATTGTCATTCACATCCGCATTATGGCCCACGGTGATGACACAGAACTTGTAGTTCTCCCACTCCTTGTCCGGTACATTTAGGCGTTTTTGGATGCGCTGCTTCAATGCACCATACGGCTCTCCCTGACGCGCCTTGGCCAGGAAGGGTACCCCAAACGAGTTGTATAGCTCCTTGCTGAAATGGGCCACCGGTACGAGATATTCGTTCTCCGCCAGCTGCATCTCCTCCGCCGGCACCTCCTCGATGCGATAGATCTTCTGTGCGCCCTGCGTCGTCGATATCGATTCGGTGGTCTTTAGCAGCGTATCCAATGCTATTTCATCCTTGCAAATCGCCACGATCTTGTGATTGCTGACCTTAATCAGCCGCAGCTTGCGACGACTGTTCTCCGCGAACGTTATCTTCTTGGCCGCCTCGTCCAGCAGGCCCTTGACCGTGTCGTTCTTGTTGGGATACAACACCAGCTCCTTCTCCTCCTTGAGGTCGCTGCTCACCCAGACGCACTTGAATTGTTTCTTGTTGTCCAGCTCGTGGATGCTGAGGGACAGGCGCTGGTAGAAGATGCGCTTGGGGGTGCTCGCCTTGTTGTATGCCACCAGATCCTTGATGGTGCCCTGGGGAATATGGGAAATTTTTATTTAAGATGGTAGAAAATATCGATATTATATCGATATTTAACGGAAATGGCAATATATAAATCGAAAAGTCAATATTATGTTTTAGATGTAATTAAAATAATCGGGAAATGCTAAGAATTAAGTACATTTTAATATCTTTTTTGAGATTTTTATCGACTTGATACTCAAGAAAGAAACTAGGTTCTTTTTCCCTTTCAAAAGTCGATATATAATCGATATAAATCGATTGTTTAGTTAAATGTGCGATGAATCAATAATGTGTTTTACATTAAATCAAAAATTTAAAAAAAAAAAAAAAAAAACAAAGAGTTAAACACATTTTAAGGATATTTTTCATTAATATCGATATTTAAATTCAATATTTTCCATTATATAAAATTTGATTTATTAAATTTACGATGTTTTTGTTGACTTCGATATACAACCAAGGATAAAATCAAGATAAAACCGGTTCTACAATGTGTTTCCCTGTAAGGAGAATGGATAGGAAAGGAAACCGGTTCCTACTCCCCTTTCCAAATCAATCATTAAAACATAAACCCAAAATTAGATATGAAATTAAAAATATTATAAACGCACCTTGAATGTGTAGGGCACCGCATTGCCCGCCGTCTCCTTGTAGTTGTTGATGCACATAAAGAACTGCAGCTTCTGGGGATCGGTATTGAGCCGTTCGGCCACCGCATTGGTCAGCTGATCGTAGTTGTACCGATTGGAGAGCTCCAGCGTAAAGTCCGGCTCATTGGGATTGCATTTGTCGCTAAAGACAATCTCGATGCGATAGACCAGATCCAGGAAGTAGTCCTCCACCGTGGGCAGGTCCAGCCTAGCATCGACCGTCTCACGTTCAAAGATGAGAATGGGACCCTGAAGGTGATCCTGCGGTATGAAGAGCACACTGTCGATGGGTTCGGACAGATTGGCCACCTTCTTGTCGGCATACTCGTCGAAGATGGTCAACTCGGTGTCCGGCTCAAAGCCCAGTTTCTTGTTGACCTCCGGCACCAGATCAATTAGCCGCCGGCTCTGAGGCTGCTGTGTGCATCCGATGTAATTGAGGCGTTTATTTCGCGCATCATAGTATTTAAGGAACAGCAGGACATCCGTTTTGGGATTGAAAGGAGGCAGAGGGGCAGGATTTTCGGGCGAGGCAAGTTCCAAAAAGATAACCCAGGGCTTCTGTGACGTGGGTATCTGCTCAATGGTCCGCGAGCTCTCCGCCTCAAAGTCAAAGTGCAGGAATTTCTGCGTTTGGGCAGTGCACATATTCCACATACGCATACGATCTCGCGAAACGCCAAATCCCTTGACAAACATATCCACCAGCTCGTCAACGGTTTGATTTTGCTTGAGCTTAAACGGTCGCTGATGGGTCTTCTCCAGATCGAAGAGACGCCGCTTCTGCTGACCCTCAAAGTACTCCTCGAGTATAACGTGCACCGAGACATACAAATTGGCCTCGCTGCGCTCCTTGCGCCTGGCCATCTCGATGCGCTTCTCCAGATCGAGTCGTTCGACCAGATCACTCGAAATCTCGCTCTCGGGTATATCGCCCAGAACACGATCCAACTCCGATTGCCGTATGTAGACCAGCATGTAGGCATTGCTGCATTTGGCATGGAACGAAATCTCATCGTCCATGCCACCGTAATTCTGTTCAATGGCCTCCTGCTTGCGGCAACTGGAGACCACATCGTCGTCGAATTTGAACCAACGTCCGTCTGCCTTTGGATTGATAAAGACCACATAGTGACCGCCATGATTGTCACCCGAATGCACCAGCACCGCATGCAGTACATAGTCCGCCGATGTCTTCTCGCCCTCGGCCAAATAGCGATCCAGATTGATTTGCTCATAGAACTCGAAGCGATCATTGTACTTGATTGAGCTGTCCGTGATGGGATCGTATTGGAAACGCATCAAATGCAGATGAAGGACGGGCGGGAATGAAGTGAAGATGACACCCTTGCTGGCCTCCTGCAAAAATTTATAGAGAAATCACGGGGTTAGAGTTAAGGTTCTTGAGGAGATTCCTTTCCCAGCTCCACCACAAATTTAGTTTAAACCTTAGTTAATTAACTCACCTGCAGGCCATGCACACCGGCATCGTATTTGTTGTCGCCCTCCAGCGTCTCGGAGGCCACATAATCCTGGAAGGACTCGTAAATGTTCTTCTTATCCTTGATATTCAACTGAATGTCATAGAAGGTCTCGTAGCGGGTGCTATTATAATCCACATTCTTGCACTTGATGTACGATGACATTTTGCCCTCAAAGAGTCCTGGAATGGTGCCCTCCAGGCATGTGCCCTTCATCTTTGACTCCAGCTTGTCGAGGAGAACCCTTAAAAACTCTTGGACATCGTGCTGCATAAACGAATCGAGTGTCTCCCAGCCAAACGATTTGGTTAGTTTCTTGGTGCCCACGGGACGATCACCAAACTGCAGTTCATGGAACACCCGTTGCAAGGATAGACCCACCGACTTGGTACTATCATCCGCCTCCGTGGGTATACGATAGACAGCCAATCGCAACGAATTGGTGAAGTACAGCGTCTGCAGCAGTGAGTTCATATAACAGGTTGCTCCCTGATTCTTGAGACCCACATAGCCGGTGTGCTTCTTCGAGTCCCAGAGGACACCGTGCGGGGCATCGGCAATGACATGAACCTCCAGCGTAATGCTGTTGTTGTGCACATAACTCTTGTCCGCATCCTGAAGCTCCTGCCAGGTTATAAAGTTTGAATAACCATAGTCATTCTCCTTGGAGTAAAACAAATGCTTAATGCGTGCCCGGGAGAAGGGCTGGGCGTCCGGCTTGTGACACTTGAGCCTTAGCTCGGCAATGGCATTGCATGACCAGGTGGGTGAATCATTCTCCCCGTTGCACTGCAGGAAGAAGCCCAATGCCCGGTCATTGGGTATAACCATTATCTTCCAGGGCAGCATTCGGACATAGACGGGCGGTGATAACCGCTGGCTTTTCAGTTGACCCACATTCTCCACGGTAAAGGAGAATGTCGTCTCTGAACGGAACTGATCCTCCTTGGTTTCATCATCCATGCCCATGGCCTCGACCGAATCGTTATTGCCGGCAAATGTCGTTGAGCTACTGTCGGCAAGTAATTGCTGTGGCGGCACGTTGCCGTTCTCGCTGGGCAACTGGGTGATTGCTCCTGCGGCGTGAAGCTGCGGATGTATAAGGTTCTTGAATTTCGGCAGTTGCGGTGGCGAATTCTGCTGCTGCTGTTGCTGCGCGGTCTGTTGCTGTTGCGGCGCAGTCTGTTGCTGCTGCTGCTGTTGGAGGTCGCTGGTGATGATCTCGACCTCTTGGGTGTCCTGGGTGTCCATTGCTTCGATCGAGTGGTCTGTTTCTATTTCCATCTTACTCGGCACTTGAATGGTGCTGAATTTGTTGGCTCCTCCGTTATCCGGAGGATCTCGGTAGGAAGAGGGAACAGGGGATAATGGGAGCGCGATGCCTTTTATAGGAGACTTCTTCGAGTTGAAGGCGTGTCACTGGTTCAACTCTTGATTGTTTGTGTTCTCTTCCGGCGGCGGCGGCGTTCGCAAAAAAGATTCTGTAACAAACAAAATGTTAAAAAAAAAACACACACACATACACAAACAGAGCAGCGCACCGAACACGCACACCGCGTTATGAATATGCAAATATGTGCCAGGCAATTACGCATACATGCATATATAATGTACATGCTTTATTCTGTGTGCAATGACTGGATGAAAATTTTCTGGCCAGGCCATGTTTTATGCAATTTTTGTTGCGGCGGCGGCAAAAACTAGAAGAAGAAGCAGCACCACGAGCGGCGGCAGCAGCAACATTAAATGCGTCGCCGCTGCTCTGCCGCTTCTTCTTACACGCACACACACATACACATATATATATATATAAGCGCGCGCATACACACACGCTCAAACTTGCACTTTTCTTCTTACCTTTGCCGTTCTTGCCAAAAGAAGAGAAAATAAGAGAACTAAAAACAAAAACTAAAATATTATTCCTTTGCTTGCCGCTTGTCCAGTGTGTGTACGCCGTCGATACGTATGAAATTAATTGGTAACCGCAAAATAATGTTCCTTCTCTTCTCTTCTTTTCCTTTTGTATTTTGTATTTTGCAGTGTGCGTGCGAGAGAGAGCGCGTGTGTATGTTTTGTTGTGTGTGCTTTCTTTCCAACTTACACTTCAATTTATGTCCGTACACTTCTACATCGGTATGGGTGGGCTGCGGCTGCTGCGAGTGTTTTCGGCTGCTGCTGTAAGTGTGTGAGTTGCACGTCGGTTTTTTTTATATTTATTTTTTTTTTTTTTTAGGGGGGAAGCAAACAAAATATAATAGAATTTGTCGAAAACATAAATTTTGTATCGGTTCTTTAGCGTTAAAATTTTAGAAGAAAACACCTGGCGTAGCTCGCCATAGGTTAATTAATTAATATTACGAACGAACGCCTGCTGGCAATTGATATTTGTTTCTGGAAAAAATATCGATACTATCGATTCGAAAGAAGGGGGAATACATCGAAAGGTGGGAAAAACCTATCGATGTTCGTGAATCGATTTAGGTTGCTGAACAAATTTTAATTAATAATCCTTTCCTTAATACATATTTAAAAATATAAAGCAACGACGCCAAAATGATGGAAACATTAAAATACGAAATCCATATTTTGTTTATTTATAAATACAGATTTATGTCTGACCAGCTGCCGTGGTTGCAGAAATCCGCAATTTTAAGCGTTATACAGGAAAAAACTGAAAATGCCGCATATCGATATTATTTCCTAATATTTCTAAATACCCAATTGGATATTTCCCAAAAGCGTACTTGGCGATGACATCGATTGCTTTTAGTGCGCTTATTTTTCGAGATTTAAGGGTTCTATAGGTGTTTTTTTTGGGGTAAAATCGATGTATCTGATAAAAAAAATAAATATTTTGACAATTCCAGCAAAGCAGGGGTAATCGCAACAACCTGACTGAAAAATACATGAATCTAAGGTATTTAAGAAATGTAAAATAAAATTAACAAATAAAAAAATTAAAAAGAAAAATAAACAAAATATATAAAAGAAATAAATAATAAAATAAAAAATAAACAAAAACTAAATAAATAAATAAATACTAAATAAATAAATAAATAAAAACTAAATAAAGAAATAGAAACTTAATCAATAAATAAAAACATAAGAAAAAAAGTAAAAAACAAATCAATTGATAAGAGATTAATAAATAAATAAATAAAAAATTAAAAAAAGTAAAAAAAAACAATGTATATTGCAGATATATTTCTAAAAGATGTATTTCCATTTTCAAGCTTATAAAAAAAAAAACTGAAGGGTTTGCGCCTAGGATAAAAAAGAAATCGGACAATCGGACAAAGGCTCGTCAATGATGCCAATTTTAACCGTTGGATCAATGCTGCCCATTTTGAATTTTTCAAAAATTGTTGAAATTCAAAAATATTACAAAAAAAAAAAGCAAATTCTAATTATTCTAGTCAATATTGCAATAAATGGCTTGCCTTGCCCGGCCTGAACGGACTTTATCGTTTCACAAAAGACAAATTGATGCCGTCGCGAGCTTTCAGCACCATTTGGGCCTGCAGCTTGAGGGGCGCATTTTCCGGGCTCAGCCGCAAATCAAACTCGTTTACCAGGCGGGCGGTGAGCAGTTTCATCAGCAGCAGAGAGTACCTACGACCAATGCACACGTGCGGTCCCCCAGAAAAGGGAATGTAACTAAAGGCAGGCGGTGGATTAACCCCCTCACTCGCCAGCCAACGCTCTGGCTTGAAGGCATACGGATCCGGATAGTAGAGTGAATCATGCGCCAGTCCATACATATTGATCCAGAGCGTGATCCCAGCACAATATGTCCTGCCACCGATGACGGTGGTTCGTGTTGTCTGGCGTCCCGTGGTGGGCACAATGGTATACATGCGGAGTACCTCCTTGATCAAAGCCTCCAGGTAGGGCAGCTCATTGAGCGAGTCCAGGTCAGCATCCTTTGGCAACTGGTGCAGCTTGAGTTCCTCCCGAAGGCGTGACTGGGTCTCGGGATATTTGGCCAAAGCGTACAGGACAAATGACATGGCCGCCGTCGTAGTGTCCACACCCTAAAATCAAAGAGAAACCCATTAAATAGGGATTCCTGAGGACTCCTCTGACACTGCTGAACCCACTGCAAACACAAAAGTGTTGATTTCATCGCGAATTTCCTTTCTGCTCAACGGTTGATCTTCAAATCTGGCCAGAAGCAGTGTATCTAGGAGATTATGATGCAACTTGCCAGAAGGCTCTTTCTGCTGCTCCTCCAACTTCTTGGCCCGCTGCTCAATCACCTGATCCATTAGGCTGTGAATCACCTGCAGCTGCTCGCTGAGATCCCGCCAGAGTTGAGTGCGCTGGAAGATCCAATCGGAGGACAGCAGGGGATTGATCATGCGCTTGAACAGCAGCTTGCTGCTAAGATGGAAAGCTTGGATAGCGGGTGAGTGATCCATCAGCTGAGTGTCCAACTGGGCGCCCATGGAGGTATCTGTAAATAATTTTATAAGAATTTTATAAGAATTTTCTAAGAATTTTCTAAGAATTTTTAAAGAATTTTCTAAGAATTTTCTAAGAATTTTCTAAGAATTTTCTAAGAATTTTCTAAGAATTTTCAAATAATTTTCAAATAATTTCCAAATAATTTCCAAATAATTTTCAAAAATTTTCTAATTATTTTCAAATAATTTCCAAATAATTTCCAAATAATTTTCAAAAATTTTCTAATTATTTTCTAATAATTTCCTAATAATTTTCTAATAGTTTTCTAATAATTTTCAAATAATTTTCAAATTATTTTCTACTAATTTTTAAATAATTTTCAAATAATTTTCTAATAATTTTCTAATATTTTCTAAGAATTTTTTTGTAATAACCCTGAAAAACTCACCCACTATAGCATCCAGAAGGCAGGCAAAAAGGGGATCCGTCACCTCCAAACAGGCTCCTTTGGTGGACTCCAGTCGACTGACCAAGCGATCCACATGCTTGCCTATATCCTTGGCAAAATATCTTAACAATTGCGGCTGAAAGGCAGGTGTCAGGAGGCGACGTTGCCTGGTCCAATGGGCACCATGACTGATTAGCAATCCATTCCCTATGAGCGGCTCCAGTTGAAGAAACGTCTCAGCTTTGAGCAGCGTGGGATCATGCAAAGCCTGACGCGTTTCCTCTGCCGAGTGTAAAAACACCCACAACTGGGGACCCAGCCAGAGGCGATAAGTAGACCCAAAGCGATCCCTGAGCTCTGTAAAAACCAGAAAAATGACTGCCAGCTACAGTAAAGAGATTAAATCTTCAGACTCTAGACTCTGATTAACTCACATTCCGGCTTTAGTTTGCCCACCATTTGGGCATTTCCCAGGAGTGGAAAAGCCCAGGGTCCGGGCAAGCTGATGCCCACTTTGAGAAGCTTCCATTTGCGGAGTAGCAGCCACACACCCAGGGTGAGGAGCAGCAGCGGCCACAGCGCCATGTCTAGCGGTAGGGTTCGTTACTCCTCAAGCGATTGAAACAGACTGAAGTGGAGAATAATGGAAACCTGCTTGATTGGCGGCTTATCTTCAGAGGGGCCGGCAATCAATGGAAGCAGAGCTAGCGGAATGTTAACCCTTTGATGGAGAATATAATTATGAATAGATTATAATAAAAATAATAAATAATAATAAATAATAATAATAATAAATAATAAAAAATAAAAATAAAATATATAATATATATATAATATATTAAAAATAAAAATATTTAATTATATTATGTCTTTAAAAAGCTTTAAAAAATAAAGTAAACTAAATTAGTAATCCAAAAATATATTCAATAAATTAATTAAAAATTTTTGAACATATTTAATAAATATTTAATAATAATTTAGTTGGTCTTTAACGGGTTACTTAACCCACTAACATTCGATCTGCTGGCTTAGATAAGATTATCGGATTTCATTCAGGCCAGACATGTGTACTATATGCACTTGCTCTGGGCGGATTAATAAAATCCAGCAATCAGTCTACTTATTACCTATGTATTATATCTAATCTGTACTGTAAGACTCGACTCTAGAGCGAAATAAACAAATGCACTTGCTGGCACTTTGCTTTTATTTATGCATATTTCCCTATCAACGTTTGAGCTTTTATTAATTAATCTTTCAAGATAATAACACTTGTGAGTAATAGAGATTATGTGTTGCACTCTTTTATGTTTAAATAATAATTTAAAATTGTAGAAAAGCCTAAGATACTTGAAAAAACGTTTAAAATTAAGAGGGAACTAGTTTGAAATTAATTATAAAGTTTTTTGAATTATTTTTTTCAATATCAAGGAATATCAATATCAATTATCACCATAACTAAGCCAAAATAGCATCAAATTTAGTTCGGTAAACATTTCTATGCTAGTTTTTTGTAGATTAACAAATCTGCATATTAAATTTTAAATTTTAGGAAATCAAATTTTTTGTCATATTTTTTGTTACAATATTAACGATAATTTTGTAAAAAAAATTTTCAAAATATTTTTTCTCCCAAATCTTGTCTAATTCGACTCGCCTGTTGATGCTGATCAAGAATATATATGATTTATAGGGTCGCAAATGACTCCATCACTGTATAAAATCATAATACCCTACCAGAAGACCGGAAATAATCGATTTTGTTATCGATATTTTATATCGTAATTTTTTGGATAAATCAAAGTCTAAAAACCCCATAACTAAGCCAAAAAAGCATCAAATTCAGTTCGGTAAACTTTTCTATGCTAGTTTTTTGTAGTTTAATAAATCTGCATACTAAATTTTAAATTTTAGGAAATCAAATTTTTTGTCATATTTTTTGTTACAATATTAACTATAATTTTGCAAAAAAAAAAAAAATCAAAATAATTTTTCTCCCGAAATATGTCTAATTCGACTCGCCTGTTGATGCTGATCAAGAATATATACGATTTTTAGGGTCGGAAATGACTCCTTCACTGCTTTGAAAGCTTCTAACTGCAATTTGAATACCCTGCAATGGTATAAAACATAACTTTCCTATAGCATTTTTCAAAGTCAAAACAAATCACAGCGGAAGCTACATAGAAGCTCCCCCCATTTCCTAGGCAATTAATAAATAAATAAATAATAAAGCCAAAGAGACGGACAATAATTCAGGCTGTGTGTGCCGCATTTTGGGCAGTTGTCAACGGTTGGCCCAACCGATCGGTTCGGTTTCGGTTTCGGGAGAGAAATTGCTTAGCCAAGTTAGCTGGCCAGCAAACCGTTTCGCCTACAAAGCACCGCATTAAGCCATAAAAAAAAATAAAGAAACAACAAATTACTTTGCAATGCACCTGTGCGTGGCCCTGTGGGTCTGCGGTGTCATCCTGGCGGTGCTTCTTGGTTGGCAGCAACGCAAGTGCTGGCGCCTCATCTGGCAGCTGAATGGCTGGCGAGGAGTGGTCCATCAGCCGCTGCTCTGGTTCCTGCTCTGCATCAATCTGCATCCGAATAGTAAAGTTATAAAGTAAAGTCTGATTTAAATTTACTAAAGAAAATCGTTAATACCTTTAGGCATTCTGGAGAAAGTCACCTATTTTCGGGTGTTTTTCCAGCGTCCCATGGCTGTTCTCTTGGGCACTCGCGTCCTGGTTTATATAGACGATCCAGCGGGGATGGAGTGCGTGCTTAATGCACCCGAGTGTCAGGACAAGACCTTTCTGCAGGATGGCTTCTTCGTGAATCGCGGCCTGCTTCATGCCAGAGGTTAGACTTAAAGAGTGTAAATTATAATTTATATTTTATTTTATATATAAATTATAATTATAATTACAGGCCAGCAGTGGAAGCTGCGCAGGAAGCAGCTTAATCCCGCCTTCAGTCACAACATTGTGACCAGTTTCTTCGATGTTTTTAATTCGGTGGGCAACCAGATGATCGAACAGTTTGCCACTTTGCCCCAGCTTCATGGCAAATCGGTCAGTTTCACGGATGCCGAGGATATGCTCAGTCGAGCTGTTTTGGAGGTATCTTGCTGTGAGTATTAACTAAATTTTAAATATAAATGGTGAAGATCTATATTAGTTTTTAAGCTTTATATAGCTGGAGAATATATTTTATAGTATACTTAAATTCTGGGAAATATTTAAAAAATAAAAACTTTACAATTTTGAAAGCAGATACAAGTTTCGTGAGAAAAAAAAGAAATATTGAAATCAATCGAATAAATATCAATCGAAAAATATTAAAAAATATAGTAAATCGTATATATCGATTTTTGATATGTAAAAATAATATCGAATTTAACTTTTAATATCAAAATTATCGAAAACTATACGTAAAATATTGTTTAATATTTTTTCGTAAATTTTGTGTCGATTATATTGATACTTTATATTTAACACAATACCGGTTTATTGTATATTTGTATAATGTATAGAAAATATCAATTTATATATCGATACAATATTACTGAGAGAGACTTTATCTAATATCCAAGTTTTATCAACTTAAATATATTTTTGATATTATTTTTTTAATAGAAATATATCACATTTAATATTAAAAATATCAATATTTTCAAAAATCATAGATTAAATTGTTCCAATATATTAAACATAAAATGATAAAATAATCATAAATATCTAAATATATATCATACGTTACAAAATACACATCCAGCGCTTGCAGTTGACCTCCATCTGTAAAAGCAATTATGGTATAATCACCACTACCTATCCACTATCCACTATCCAATTCACTGCCCATTTCCCCGCTTACTTGCCTGCCCTTCGCATGGCGACACGTTCCCCCCGTTTCCATGCAGCTCACGTATACGGAATCCGACACAAAATCCATCATCTAACGAGTGCTCAATAGTCCAGCGTTTGGTTTTTATTAATTTCTAATATTTTTTAATGTAAATTAGAAATGTTTAAATATAGTTAATATATATTTTATTGTATTATTTATTTTATAATATATTTTAAATTTTTTATTTATTTATTTTTTAAATTTAATTTTATTATATTTTTATTTTATTTAATTTTTTTTATTATTATTATTATTATTTATTTTTATTTTTTTTTATTATTTTTTTTTTTGCTGTAAATTGGATATGTTTATAATTAATATATATTTATTGTGTTATTTGTTTTGTAATATATTTTATATATTTATTTTTTTTAAATGTTTTATATTTTATATTATATTTTTTATATATCTTTTTTTATTTTGTTTTATTAAATTTTTTAACAAAATTTGTTTACTATTAATTATTTTATTTATTATTTTATTTTTTATTTCATTATTTTGTTTTTTTAAATATTAAAAAAAAAAATTTTAATGTATTTTTTTAATTTTTCTTTTTATTTTTTTTGTTTTTATTTTTCATAATATTTAAAAATAAACTCACTTGCAGTGACCATAATGGGCACACCCACAAACTTCACCCAGATCGATGATGACCACATTGCCCACAGCTACAAGAGGTGAGTAAAGGGGAAGCCCTCTCCACATTAACCTCTCCCAAGAGTTTCTCTAATGCTTACCCTTCAGACTCCTGGAGATATCAGCCGTTCGGGTGGTGAAACCCTGGCTACAGAGTGACCTGCTGCATCGTCTACTCGAGCCAGAACTTTATGCAGAATCTAAAAAGAACTGTCAGCTTTTGGAGGATTTTGTGGGCGGCATCGTGAAGACCAAGCATCGCAACTGGCGGCTAAGGGATGCTGTAGGTGCGGCTGGACCTGGTGAGGATACATCCTCGGGCTGGCAGCGACGCATCTTCATTGAGCAAATCTTCCAGCTGGCTGCCAATGGAGAGATGACGCTCGAGGAGATTATGCACGAGGCCCAGTCCATGGTTCTGGTGGTGAGTAATGAGAGTATTTATCAGAAATTCGGGTATATATCTACAATATACCTCCGATAGTCCTTTGAGACGGTGTCCAATAGCATCATGCTGGCCCTGCTCTGCCTGGCCACGCACAAGGGCGACTGCCAGGAGCGCCTGCGGGCGGAGATTGCAGCCGTGGTGCCGGATACTAGTGGCCATGTGGGCTTGGAGCAACTGCAGCAGTTGCGCTATCTGGATGCCTTTGTCAGTGAATCCCTGCGGTTGCTGGCCACCGTGCCCATGAATCTGCGTCATGTGAGTCGAGACTTTCGCCTGGCCGGACGGGATGCCATTGTGCCGCAGAACAGCATCGTGGTGCTGGACACTTTTAATATGCAGCGCGACGAGCGCTGGTGGGGAGCCAATGCCAAGCAGTTTGATCCGCAGAGGTTTCTCGACCAGGATCAGGACCAGCAGCCAGGGGAGACTCCAGCTCGAGGAGAGCCACGAAGACAGCGGGATAGAAGGCACTCCTACAGCTTTCTGCCGTTCTCCAATGGTTTGCGGTCCTGCATAGGTGAGTTTTTTAGTTTTATTATTATAAATTAATTATTATAAATTATTATAAATGATTATTAATTATTATAAATTATTTATGCATAATTACAAATTATTATAAATTATTTATACCGTTATTACAAATTATTATAACTTATTATATATAATTATAAATTATTTTAACTTATTTATAAATTATTGGAATTTATTTATAAATTTAAAAATTTTTATACATTTTTTTAAATTATTATAATTATTTATACATTATTACAAATTATTTTAAAATAAATTAAATTATTTATTTAAATCTATTATAAATTAAAATAGATTTTTAAAAAGTATTATAAAGTATTATAAATTATCATACATCATAAATGATTTATATATTATTATTAATTACTATTTTTAATCATTATTAATTATTTTAAAATTATTATTAATTATTATTATTACTTACTCTCTTTTTTTCCAAGGTCGTCGCTATGGCCTCTTCATCATGAAGGTCTTTCTGGTCAAGCTGATTGCCAACTTTGAGTTTCAGAGCGATTTTCAGCTGGAAAAACTGCAGTTTGTGGAAAATATATCCCTAAAGTTTAAGAATGTCGACGACATCCGTCTGGCCATCCAGCCTTATCGGGTGTCCCAAGCCTCTGCATAATCTCTAGGGTATAGGTATAAAGCAATTTTTTTTTCTAATTTTATTTACCTCTTTAAGGGGTGTTTTTTGTTGTATGGAAACTCAATAAAATATTTCTTACATTTTAATTTTGGTTTTTCCATTTCCCACTTATTTGAATTTTGAATTTCTAGGAATTTAGGGGATATTTCTGGGACTTTTAGGGGAATTTTAGAGGAAATTGTAGGAAATTTCTGGTTATGCTTTCAAGAAAAAGTTGATTGGAAAGCTTGGCCATATTTCCAAACCTTAAAGAAGTGACTCATAGATGACGCACGTATGACAGAGCTTTAAATAAAACCATTTAAAAACCAAAAACGGCTTTAATATAATTATTTTAATATAATTTAATAATAAATTAAATTATATAAAATGGTATTTTGTTACACAGAGACATAAATAAATAAAAAAAAAATTGGTTAAACAAAATTATAAAACCAAAACAGTTTAATAATAATATTTTTAAAAACTTTTAAAGGTAGACACGAAAAAAAACCTAAAATATTTTGATTTCTTTAAATTTATATTTATCTATATTAAAATGGTAATTTCAAAAACACCATAACTAAGTCAAAAACTCATTAAATTAAATTCGGAAAGCTTTTCTGAGCTAATATTTTCTAGGTTAACTAATCTTCTTACAAAATTTTAAATTTTAAAAAATCTAAATTTTTGCCTTTTTTTACACAATTTTAACAATGTAAGCCCTTGAAAATTTTGGAAAAATTTTTTAAAAATTTGTTTCAATCGGGACATGTCCAGATTGACTCACCTGTTAATGCTGATCAAGATCATATATGATTTATAGGGTCGGAAATTACTATTTCTAACCGAAATGATGCTTCATATTTCAATATTAAATATTTTAATTTCTTTTTTTAAAATATTATATAAAAAACCTCAAAGATTTTAAGGTGTTACCCTTTTTTAAATAATTTCTACATAGTTTCCCCTCAAATATACTTTATATTCCTCAGAAAATAGACAAAAATTCTGGGTCTTACCCATTATAGGGCTTTTCCACTTGAAGTAAACTGAAAATGGGGAACTGCATCTGTCAGGGGATGCGACAAATGTCGGGCGATTGCCGAGCACGCGACGGCTAATGTGGAAGGACAGGGACACGGACATGGATACGGACTCGGCTGTAGTCGTAGCAGAAGCAGTAGCAGTCACACTGCCGTATGATAATATGCCACAACTGTCAGCAATATTTCCGCTGTGCTCTCTGCCCCGCTAGAATTTTCACTAGATCTCCGTAGGTCCCCCCGTACCACCACCCCCAGACCCGGGCACATATCATTGTCAGCTTGAGTCCTGTTGACTCGTCTGAAGAGTCGGAGGAGAGTCGTCCAAAGAGCGTCCAAAATGTTGGCACCGTCTTAGCTGCTAAACGACAACAGCAGCAGCAACGCCAGTCAGCCAAGTGGCATCATTATAACTTGGTCTAAACTACACTGAGCGAACGTGGCGAACGAATCCAGGATGCCCAACGATCAAAGGATGCAGGATCTGCACTCATACACATATGTGTGTTGTGGGGCATCTTGTTATTTCCCCAAATCATTCGCACATTTTGTCAAGTGCTTCCTTTTAACCCTGTACTTTTGTGGTTTAAACAAGGGTATATTACTTGGAATGGGCAGGAGTCGGGGGTTTTTTGGGATTTGAAATGGAATGAAAAAATGCAGGAGCAAGGTATCGAGTTAGAAACTGAGTAGAACTTATCCAGCAGCTACCTATTTATCAATAAATATTTTAGTTTCTCTTGTTTAATTTATAATTTACAAAATAAAAAATGATGATTTAAATTAAGTTTAGGCGTTATTTTCCCACAGTTTGATATATTTAAAAGAATATCGATTTATCTCACAGGTTTATCGTCGTTAAAATAATCGGCTACTAATGATGTTTTCTGCTATTACTAATCGTAATCATTTTAGACCTATTACAACCTACGTAATCAAATGTTTCGTTTGTTTTTTTAGTGTTTTTTTTTGTACCTCACACTATTTACATATTTAAAGGGTAACTTCTAGTTGAGTTTTATTGTTATCACTGATTTTTGGCTTGCGATTCCTTTTACCTTTTCGCCAGGCAAATGACGCCGTCAACGCAGTCATTAGGTGAACGGAGGAGTGCAGCCAGGATATCTGCTGGCTCCTTGTGCTCCCCCCCCCACTCCCAGTTAACGTTGTTGTTGCTGCTACTGCTGCTGGCATTAACTTGACACTTTCCCCCATTTGCCGTGAGTGGAATGCATTGCATTCGTGTCCGTAACTCCTTTCGTAATTCCCTCCGTAACTCCATATGTGTGGGTGTGTGTGTGTGTGTGTGTGTGGAAGGGATGTGTGTGCGGAAATTTATAACTGTGAAAGGCACTTGAAACACATTCGCATGGAAATTGCCGTCACGGTCGCCAGGCTCACTTGGCGGGCCCTCGCTCCCCCCGCGCGCGCGCTCTTACTCACACATTTACTTTGATTGATGTGACGGCGCAAAATCGCCATAGCCACAGATAAAATATATAGTCCTCCGACTCCTATTGCAACTCCAGCTCTCCTTTTCATCTAAAATGGAGTCTTAATTATTTGGCCAAGCATCAGGAAACCCTAGTAATTGCAAGGATTATCTGGAAAGCAGAAAAAGGACTTTAGTTGTACATTTTTTAAAGAGAGAATTTGAACTGAAAACTCACCTAGATAATGCAGGATTTATATAATTAATTCAAAGAATAGAGAATGTAGAAAGAGGCAGTGAACACAAGAAAATGAATACCAATGGAATGAACACAAGAAAATACATACCAATGGAATGAACACAAGAAAATGAACACAAGCAAACGAAAGGATATTTTTACAGAAAGAAAATATTTTTAAATTATTTTACGATCATTTAAGCCTTGAATTATTTAGCAAAAAAGAATAATAAGAAATATACATACTAATGATGATCCTTTTTGCTGTTCCTAGGCAGATCTGCACTTGATGTTGCTGTGGCTTCCAGGACTCTGGCACTCTGACACGCACACACACATACACATGCTCAAACAGGGTACCCAGGGACCTAAAATGCAAATCGTGCTGAATTGCATTTTTCAGCCAAAACGCTTGGAGAGCTCTTCCCCCAGAAACTGACCATTGGCCATAACCCGGAGTTTTCAGCTTCAGCTTCAGCTTCTGTTCCTGTGCGAGGCGTTGATAAATGTGTGTGTATGTGGAGGGGAAGAGGGGTAGCATAGCTGGAATCTGGATTCCTGTATCCCTGGACCCTGGCCAGTGTCAGTGCCACTGATGCTGATGCCGTTAAGTGCGACAGAAATCCACTGAGCCGCATAAAGCGAAAGCGTGAAAATGCCGCCGCCAGCGGCCTGCTAATAGAGGAGTCCCAGTCCCCCATGTTCCAGCCGCAAGGACATCGGCCATGGCCTGGCCTGGCATTCCAGTTTGGCCGGGCATTTTTGGATCATTTTTCTTAGTTTTTGTTGGCCTCGGTTTCTTCTTCGGTGGCAACGTTGTTGACAATTTGTCGACGTGTCAAAAGAGTCAACGTGAATGTGACAAGTGATGCTGACGAGACAGCCGCTGCATTCCCGCACTCGTTTCCCATTTCCCGCACCAGCTACCAACTCCCAGTCCTTAGTCCTCCATTTTCTCTCTCCCATCCTCCTTTCCATTTCGATTTCCCGCTCCAAGTCCTGCTCCTTTTTCTTAAATGCAGGCAGACTTTTTAACTGATCTCATCGAAGAAAAAGGATTTTCTAAAAAATCCCTAAGAGAATAATAAATCCCTAAGAAAATATGTCTAAAAAATATGTTTTTAAATATAAAGAAGTATAAGATATCCCCTTTAAAATATTTAGAAAATTAAAAAAAAAATTATGTACTAAATAAAACAAATAAAAAAACAATAAAAAATAAATAAGAAATTAAATCAGATTGAGCAAAATTAAAAACCAAAATATAAGAAAATTGCAATTATAATAAAATAAAATAAAAATAAATAAATAAAATAATAATAGATACTACTAATAATTAATAAATAATATAAATAATTTTAAATTAAACATTCAGCTTATTTTCTTCCTTATCTTATAAAAATAAAATAAACAGTAAAATAAAAGTAAAATACTAAAATGAAATACAATTAAATAAAAGAATATAAAAATAATAATAGTACAATATAATAAAATTTAAAAAAATAAAATAAAATAAAAAAGTACTAAATTAAATAAAATAAAATATATAAAATAAAATAGAATATTTAAAATAATAATATATAAAAAATAAAAATAATATTACATTAAAAAAATCAGCTTTTTGTGTTCCTAAAATTATTTTCTAATATTAAAGACATAAATGACCTTTTTAAAAATCTATTAAATAACAAAAAATCACAACTAATTTCTTCAACAATAGTACTTATAAAGAATATCCACTTTTGTTTATAAACTACCAATTTTTCTACACCTTCTATAAGGCAGTTTCATATTCGTTGTGACCTGTAAATGCTACGCAATGCCACCGAAAATTAATTTTTTTTTGCAGGGGGCCAGAGCTCTCGACATTTGGACATAAACGGCATAATTGATATATATACAGAGAGTGTGTATGGGTGTGTGTGAGTGTGTGCCTGTGTGTGTGTGTGTGTGTGTGTGGATAAAGCTCATCAAGTGCTAACGGCAGGACTGCGTCCACTGTCCACTGGCCTCTTGTCACTAATTACATGCATGTCAATTTTTCGCTCATCATTGCATCGGGGAGAAGTAGTGGCCAGGGGGCAGGGGCAGGGGGGGATCAGAGGGACTGATGGACAGAGTGTCCCCCTGGCCAGCTGAAAGCCAGCTGAAAAACCAAAACCAAACATATTTGGACAGTTTGCGGGCTGCCATCATCATCAGCGAGCCCTTTTCGTGGAAAACCCTTAGCCACGTTCAACGCGTCGTATGCGCAATATGCTCTCAAGTATTTTTTTGTTGTAGAACTTAAATTTAAAGTTTTTTATAAAAGAGATTTTTTTCTGGTTAAATATATGGTTAAATATATTTTTAATTATAATATTTACTTTTGGTTGGTAAAATTTAAACATTAATTATTTTATGAATATTAAAAAAATATATATTAATATATAAATAATAAAATAAAAAAATTATTAAATAAATAAATAATAAAATATATAATAATAATAATAAATGAAATAATAAACAAAACAATATTAATATAATACAAAAAATTAAATAAAATAATAAAATTGTATATAAAAATTTATATAAAATAAAATATTAGCTAAAAACATAAAAAACAATGTCAAGTTGTCGAAAATAAATCTGTAAATTATAAAAAATCTTCTGGAAGCCCAAACAATTTCATTTCAAGAAATTTATTTAAAAATATATATAAAAAAATCTAAAAAAATATATAAAAATCTAAAAAGGAATAATAAAAAACATAAATTAAGGACAATCTGCGTTACAAATAGAGTATTTTTTAGCCTCGACTCTTGCTGTAGCTTTCCTTCTTTTATTCAATTTTTCATTATTTGCTGACAGCTGTCGGTAAATGGAATTGTTTATTACCTGTCGTCTGCCCCTGTTCATCTTCATGTCCCACGTTCATATCCACATCCACATCCCTGTCCACATCCATGTCCACGTCCACGTCCATGTCCATGTCCTGCCTTCTGCGTTCACCACCTGTTCCATCATATCCTGTCCTGATGTCCTGCCGTCCCCCTCTCGTGGGTGATTATCATAACGTTTGGACTAACCCGGACTGCTGCTCCATCAACTGGCGGCAGTATGTTGACAGTTTTGGTTAGCACAACAAAACGCAATTGTGGAACTGGGCCCTGCCCTGTGCCTGGTAATGAAAATGATAATGATAACGATAATGATGGATGTGTGTGTGTTCAAAATCAGAAGAGTGGGCCCACAAAAGGGTTAAAGTGCCAGTGGGGCGAAAGCGGAACGGGGGCACTGGGATTACAAAAGGCCTTTAAATAAAATTACATCATCGAATGCTGGCGACAAGCTTGTTCATTTAGAAAAGGATGTTCTGTCCTCAAATTATTTAACGATAGAGAGAGTGCAAATTTGATTATAAAATACAATTTAAATCAATAAAATCGAAATATAAATATTTATAAATATTTAAATCAATGAAAAGTAAAGATAAAAGTAATAAAATATAAATATAAATATTTAAAAATATTACATTTAATATTTAAATATTTTTTAAAATATAATTTAACTCAATAAAATCGAAATATAAATATTTATAAATATTTAAATAAATAAAAAGTAAAATAAAGTAATAAAATATTAATATAATTATTTATAATAATATTTATAAATATTTATAAATATAAATAATAATATTTATAAATATTTCTAAATATAAATAATATTTATAAATATTTCTAAATATTTATATTTTATTACTTAACTGGTATTTCGATTTTATTAAGTTAAAATATTTATTTATTTTTATATAAATTGTATTTAATAATCAATTTTATAATATTTAACAATATTTATAATAAATTAATAAATTATTATATTATTTATTTATAAATATTTATTAATGAAAAAAAAAAAAATTTATAAATAATAAATCAATAACAATTTATTTAAAATAACTAAAAATTAATAAAAAATATATAAAATTCTAGCTAAATGATGTTTTTTGACATATTTTAAAGGTCTATTATATATATTTTTAGATTTAAGCTTTCAATTTTAGCTTTTTCAACAAGTTTTTCAACTACAATTTAATTCCGTTTAAGGACAACGATCGAAATGCCACATTCCCCCCAGGGAACCTCGCGAATGTGACAAAACTCCATCCGCTTGGCGCACTTGACACCCTTTTGCGGGGCGACAGTTCACTTCGATGCAGTTCGTCCTTTCCTGGGTTCCCTCACCCAAAAAAAAAAAGGAGTCTAATTGCCAGTGCCAAAGTGCCAAAGAAAGGAAAGAAAGCCGAACTGGCAGCAGCTGCTTGCAACTGCAACTGCAACATCTGCAACACCAAAAGCAGCGCCCTGGACTGGCAACATGAGAGCCAATTAAAGACATCGCTGGTGTCGTCGTCGTCGTAGGCGTCGTCCTCCTCCTTCTCCTCCTCCTCCACGGCGTTGCTGGCAAACGTCAACGTCGAAAACTAATTAGCATAACAAGCGGGACCCAAACTCCGGTCCAAAACCGAACCGGAAACTCGAACCGGAGACGGATGCAGCGGCAATGGTCACCACCAGGCGGCGGGCGATTTTTAGGGATGAGTCTGCGGATGTATATCAAGAAGAGCAGCAGTTCGATATTGCCTATCGAAAATGTTGTTATTTTAAACAAAAAATATTTGATTAATAAATAAATAAGTCCTGAAAAATAATAAAAATAAATTTAAAAAATATAAAAATAAATAATAAATCATACAAATAAATAATAATAAAATCGATCACAAATATTCGGATGTGTATCGATACTTATACTTATCTAAAACATGCTTAGTTAAATTAATAAATAAATTAATTTTAATAAAATTAAGATTATAAACTATTTATAGTAATAATAAGTAAGTAGTAATAAGATAAATATTAAAATTCCTAACACTAAATAATAAAATTAAGAAAAAAAAGCGATAAAAAGTCTATCGAAATGTTGAGATTTTTAAAACATGAAATCAATATAAAATAAACATTAAAAAACTCAATAAATGCAGATTTAATCAATAAATAAATCCACTTTTGGTTTAAAAATAAATAAAATATAATGATGATGATATATCGATATTTTCTTGCGTGGTTATCCCTAAAGGACGATGTCCAAGAGGCCAATCTATGGGCACCCTCAAATCAAAAGTTGACCCCACCAGCACCACCCACCACACATGCACGGCTATAAACAAATACAATTACAAGTCGGGTGGGTGGTTTGGCTACCGCCTCCGCCTGACATTAATAAACTGTCGGCATAAATAAAATGCAACCAAAAAAAAAAAGAGGAAGAAAGTCTTGGCAAATGAGAATCGCCAGGCGGGAGGAGGGCTGCTGCAGGCGAAATGAGAGAGGCTTAGGTGGAGCAGCTTCCCCCTTTCAGTGAGGAGAGTTGAGGGTGGTCAAAGCATTATGATTTATTCGCTTTATGCACTGTCAAAAAAAATTGTGAATATGTTAATTAAATAATTAATACGGAAATTCTAAGGAGCAGAAATATATAATTAAATTTAAATATTTTCATCTATAAACCTGTTGTTAAAATATTTAAAATTGAAATTATTATGATTACTTTTTTTAATATTATTATATTAAATAAATATTTTTAATTTCCTTATTTTTTTGCTAGTCAATTTATATTTTTATTGTAGGCTTTCGTTACTATTCTTCTTTACCGTTGACTAATTTTTGTGGTTTTTATACAAAATATTATATAGTATTTATTTGGTAATACAAATAAAACTTCCTTAGTGCGGGTTATGTGCTGGATCTAAATATCCACTCATAGCTTGTATATATTCATTATATTCATCCTTATCGTCTTTATATTCATCTTTAGCATCTATATTTCCATCTTCAAAGTCTAAATTTCCATTGTAAAGTCCAATTTTTCCATCGTTAATCTCTATATTTCCATCCGGATCCTGATCATTCCTGGGTGCTGAGAGCACAGAGTTGATGATACGACAAAACTCTTGCAAATGCTCTTCATCTTTATCTATCTTGGCTATCATTTGTTCGATCATCACCAGTTTATTGTAGGCAAAATCCCTAGCTCGAATTATTTTCTCGAGTAACTCTGCCTGGATTTGTTTAGGATTCACTGGTTTTTCCTCCTCGATGACTGCCATTTCTCCCAAATACGACTTGGTTCCAACTTGATTCGACGCCTTCATCCTGGGCACAACCCGAGCTATCTTTCTCTTCAATTCTGGCTTTGTCTGCGAGTCGTAGAATTTCTTAAAGAATTGCAAAAATTCAAAGTTGTGCTTGAAACGTCCCTGGATGAGTAGATCAATTGGCACTGGGTAATCAAGTTCCAAATAATTGAAAGCAGCCTGCAGGAGCCTCAGATTGTGCACGTAATCCTTCTCCCCCATGGGCAACATCTTCACTCGCTTCAGATTTATGCTTTTGGGGAAGATTGTCTTCATCAAGCGACAGTAGGCAACACCAGTGCATAGATCCTCGATCCTGGTTATGTTTATCTCCTGACTTTTGCCATTGATCCAGTCTACCATTTGGTAACGCGACATGTTTCCAGCATTCCGAATGGAGGTGATGCTGGTGACGCACTTCATGGTACTTTTATCTAAACTATACATAATATATATGTATATATCGTATTATGTTTGTATTATGTCTTTGTATGAGTCTCTCCTGCTTTAATCCTTATCCAAAAAATAGGTTTTTTGTAAAATTTTTACTGGTCCCTAAACTAGTAAGATTACTACAGGCTGTAAACTTGTGTTACTGATTGAATTGTGACTTTGTGACGTTCTTGGACAGGCTTCTCAGGTGAGAAAAAAATCCAGGTTGCTGGGTTTTTATCTTTTCACGAGTTTGAATAGGGGGAATACAATACAAATCAACCTTTTTCAACCAAAATTTGTAGAAAATATATATAAAGATTTTTTCCTAGTGTCTATCAAGAACAGCAGAAGGACTCACTCCCCTAGTTCCTGCTTCGATGCTGCTGCTCCTGCTGCAATGTTGGTTTCTTCCGGACGCCGTCGCGCAATTTTTTGGCTTGACTTGGCTCGAGTTGGCCGGAATGATGGCGCGACGCGGGTGTGTGTGTGTCTGGCCGGGATCTCTGTTAGGTTCTTCTCTGGCCAGAACTTGGCGGAGGCGGCGGCGGCGGCTGCATCGCATGTTTGTGATGGGCGACGAGACAGCCAGCGAGACAAGCTCAAAGGGATTAAATTAAAATGTCCTTTGAGTTGTGTTTTAATTACTTCCTCTCTTCTCTCTGGCAATGAAAACTGTCTCAGCCAAACACACACCCACGTCCAGAGCTGGCTTCGTTCTCCCGTTCGTCGTCCTCTTGCTGCTCCCCCCGTTGCTCATGATTTTGAGTTTTGCCAAAAAAGTTTCCGGCATCAGATTAAAAATTACTTTAATTAAACATAAATATTATGGCAATAATTTTTTAAATAAAATTAATTCAAGAACTCAAACAAAGATCACTTAAAAGCCTCAAGTGACCGCATTAACCAACAAAAAAGAATGGTTACTTTAAGCTTGTCGTTACATTTACAGCTTAACGCCGGGCAAGCTGATCAAGAGAAAGAGAAAAGGACTCTTAACCCACACACATACACAGGCTGAAGGCTTAACCCCACAAAGCTGCATAAAGCCGCACCAGCAGGAGCCGCATTCAAAGATACAAAAGATACAATAAACACTGTTTCAGAGTGAACAATTGAATTTTAAGAGAATTTAAGAGATTATTCTAAAATTTAAATTATAAAAAAATTCAGTTTTTAAATTTTAAAAATAAAAATAATATTAAAAATTAAAATTTAAAATAAAATTAAATTTAAAGAATAAAAATATACCTAAATCCAGTTATTTTTTTTAGAAAATATAAATTAAACTCAAAATTATGGGAATTTCTTTGCCTAAAAAAATAGATTATATAAAAAAAATTGAATTTTTTAATTTAAAAATGAAAATATACCTAAATTTAGGTATTTCATTTAATGAATATAAATATAACTCAAAATTAAGAGATTTTGCCTAAAAATTAAATTTAAAAAATTAAGTTTTTTTAATTTAAAGAATAAAAATATACCCCCATTCAGTTATTTATTTTAAAGAATATAAATTTAACTCAAAATCAAGAGAATTTCTTTGCCTAAAAAATAAATTATATAAAAAATTGAATTTTTCATTTTAAGAATAAAAATATACCTTAATTTAGTTATTTATTTTAATGAATAAAAATTAAACTCAAAATTAAGAGATTTTTTTTTACCTAAAAATCAATTATAAAAAAGTGCAGTTATTTATATTAAATAATATAAATATACTTAGAAGATACTACCCATATCTGGGCATTTAAAAATACAAAAGATACAATCACTTTTGAATTGTAACTCAAAGTTAAGAGAATTTCCTTACCTAAAAAATCAATTTTATAACAAATTCAGTTATTAAATTTAAAGAATAAAAACATACCCATAAGAAGAAACCATATCCAGGCTAGCCTGTAGCATGCAACTGCATTTCGTATCCGTATCTGTATCTGCATCTGGAGCCGCTGCCCGTATTTGTATCTCCTGCTGCTGCTGCTGCTGCTGCCTGTATCTCGCCAGCGATGGCTCATTCATTCTTATCAGCGTATTGGGGATTTGTCGCCTTTCAAGGCAGGCGGCCGAGCGAGCGAGCAGACCCATCGACCGACAGACAGACAGACAAATGGCAAATTAATTGCCCGGCCCGCCATTGACCCAGGACAACTGCAATCGATTATTTATTTATTTATTTATTTATGCCGCCCCGAAGCGAACTGGAACTTGGCGCTGCCGCTTATCTCCGCCGGATCCCCGGCTACGTATCCGTTATACGGAGAAACCGGGCCGATTTCACGGATGCGAGCGAAGCGAATGTCGTGCCCTAGTCGCCCCGGCAAATGTTTTGCATATCATTGACAGGAGTCGTCCTCGTCCCCATCGTCGTGGTAGGTGGAATCCCTTCCAGGGGCTTTGCATACATTTTCCCTGACTCAGCCTTGGAGTACAACATATTTTAGGCCCCGACCCTCAACCCTCTTCGGTCCTTTTGGCTGTCCCGCTCAGCATGGAATTTATTTGAGCAAATTTGCAAATTATTGCCAGAGTCTCAGTCGGAGACGAAGTCAGGGCTATAATGCACGCACAGAAATTGGGTGTAATTTAAGTTAATATTTAGCTTTAATAATTTAGTAAAATAATATGAAATTTTTAGAGTTACGTAGTAAGTATTATGTTTACTTGAAGCTTTTTTAATTTAAATTACATTAATTTAATTATTTAAAAATTGTATTTAATATAAAATTTTAAGTTTCAAAATTTAGTTTCTTTAAAGTTCTTTTATTCTGCTTTTCTTAAAATAAAATTAAATAGCTTTATTTTAGTCTCAGCTTTAATTGTTTTTAATTTAATTAAATTAGTTTATTTTTTATTTATTAATTATTAATTTATTAATTTTAATATTTATCGATAATTTTATAAGCAAATTTTTTTGGGAAAAGTTAAAATTTAAAAATATTATAACTTGCCCAAAAAAGTCTTAATTTTAATTCTGAAACCTTTTCTGTCTTAGTTTTTTTAGACAAATAAATCTACATACAAAATTTTAAATTTAAAGGTTTAAAAATTTTTGGCAATTTTTTTAACAGTAAAAAACTGAAAATTTTCGAAAATAAATTTAAAAAAAATTTTTTTTTGCAGACAAAACTAGATTAACTCGCCTGTTGATGCTGATCAAGAATATATATGATTTATAGGGTCGTAAATGACTTTTTCACTACTTTACAAGCTTCTGACTGAAATTATGCTACCCTTTAAAGGACATAAAAGTATTAAATAAATTCAAAATAATATAGATTTTTCGCCCAGTGTATCTGGAGACGTTGGACATCTATTACGTTGGCCATTTACATTTCACAATTGCCTTGTTGGCATCTTTTTCCCTCGTTTGTTATGGCACTGCTTCTTCTGCTCTCTCTGCTTGGCCTTTCCCTTCGATTTCGTCACCACCTCTTTCCCTGACATTCCTTACGCTTTGTTCTTTTATTTTTTAATGGGCTTTTGAGTGGGCGTGGCCCTGGAGTAGGGAGACACGACACAGAGAGAAGAAGAAAAGGACTCAAGCCGATTTCGCACGCTGTTCGTGTTAGCCACATTTTTGCTTTATGACTGCTGAGTGGATTTTGGGCCAAAATTGACGACAGACATTACACCCAGTGCACGCTCGAGTGGCGCCCCGTTTGAGAATTATTAACTTATAACCATAATAAAGCATGTTAATAGGTAATACCAACAGTGAAAGGTTATGGATTTATCGATTATTGATTTTAAAGAGTGCAAGAAAGCTTAATTAGTACAGGTTTTAAGTTTGAAAGCATAGAAAATTCAGGCAATTTGCTTGTTTAAATTATAAATTAAATGTTTAAAATTAAATTTAAAATAAGCAAGAAGAGAAGGTAACTTTGGCACGCCGAAGTTTTGTATACAGTTTGCATTTAGAGCATTAGAAATCTGTCTATTTTGATGCTACTTGGTACCCAATACAAGTTTCTTATTAAATAATTGTTTAAAGTTAATATTAACAAGATCCTTAAGCTAGAAAATATAAATTTTGTGTACTCACATTTGTCTAGGTCCCTCTTCTGATTGATCAATCTCCTGGATTTTTCTCTAATCTCAAGCTCTCTCCGGAGATATTTGCTCGTTTTCTTCAACTCTCTCAAATAAACCCGTTGCACTAGGCTACAAAATAAAGGGATTACACTACAACACAACAACACAACAAGTAGAAGCTCTTTTAGGAGAGAGGAACCACTTTGACACTAACTCACAAGCACACAACAACACTGGAAGTACTACTCAACCCCCAACATTCAGCTGGGTTACCACTCAGAAGATGCTAAAACTAGTTGGGAATTATAGTGTCAAGTAAGTGTTTTTTTTTTAAATTAATTATTTATTTATTATTTTTTGTTAATTATTTGTATATTTATTTCTTTATTGATATTAATGATTATATATATTCATTGATATTTATGTTTATATTTATTTAAAGCGTAACAAAATATAATAAAATCTGAATACTGAATTTAATAAAAATATTAATCCATAATTTTATGGTAATTTTTTGGGAAATAAAAATCAATATGGAAAGCTTATTTTGACAATTTTTTTTACAATAGCCTGTTAATGCTGTTTTTATTAGTTTTTAAATTTTTAAAATTAGAAAAACATACAAGTTACTTGTTTTACTCATACATTTACTTATCACATTTTAATAAAATCTAAATCTAACCAAAAAATCCTCCAAAAACTTTTAGTAACTGATAAATATATATAAAATTCAAATCTTTATATATTACTCATACGCACTGTGTGTTTATTATGAAAACACAAAAATCGTTGCTTACGCAACACGGAAAGACTTAAGACTTGGTCCGATTATCGGGCTGAATTCTCGATTGTAAGCCGATGACAGGCTGCTTTCCCTACTTTTTTTTTGTTGTTGTAAGGCAGGCAAACTGGGGAATATCTTGCACAACAAGGACCAATTGCCAGAGACCCGC